TAAAGGACTAGAACTTACTTTGGCTATGGGAGTTGCTCTGGTGCTCCTAACACTGCAGAAAGCGTCACTGTACGGTCCTGCCAGCAGAGGGCACTGTGCTGTTGTTCAGGGTGTGCCAGGAGCTATCAGCTTGTAAGGCACCTAGAGGGGGTTAAGAGAATTTCTGTTTCTGTCAGTCAGTCAGTCGGTCGGTCAGTCTGTCTGTCTGCCTGCCTGCCTGACTGTCCATATGCTTGCCTGTCTGTCTGTATCTCTCTCACATATACACATCACTCTGTGATAAAATGGATGGATGGATGGGCGATCTGTGTAGTCATGAGTAGAGAAATACTTGTTAGAGGAGATGACCTTTTGGGCTATTGACTCGAAAGGAAAGATGTGGGTTGCTGGGAAAAACAAAGAAAGAAATTTTCTAGGACTTTGGCAGAGTTTGAGAAGGAGTTTGAGAACTTATTAAAGGTTAGTATTTTTCATAATATGATTTCCATTTAAAGAGGAATGATCTCCATTTCCCTGTGTGTGTGTGTGTGTGTGTGTGTGTGTGTGTGTGTGTGTGTGAGAGAGAGAGAGAGAGAGAGAGAGAGAGAGAGAGAGAGAGAGAAAGATTATTAGTTATAGGTCAGAGACTCTTATGCTGAAAGGTGGATTGTTCATCTCAAAGGAAGATCCCAAGGGAATTTATCAAAATTGTGTATCTAGGGTGTGATACTAATGTTAGATGTATAATGTTAGGGCAGATTAGAAGTCTCCTCTTACCCAATGTAGTCTCAGGTGTTGCTGGCCAGAGGAACTGGTTGTGGGGAGTAAAATCAGGTAACAATGGTTACTAGACCTTTTTGTGGGAGCAGAACAAATTGAGTCCTTAACCTAATTTTATCTTCTAGTAAACAGCTGTCCAAAGAGAATCATGCCTATAATTAGCTAAAACAACAGCTGTTTCTAGGTAGCTATATCTGGATATGACTTACTTTTTATTTACAATATAAAACTATTCTTAAGATGACACATGTAGGTGGTTAAAAGTTCAAATAGTTGGAAGAGCTTAGCATGAGAATCAGGGATCTCCAGTCTTTTCTCTCCCATCTTGGTCTTCTTCTACCCAAGGCAGCTACTTTGAATGTTTTTTTTTTTCCCATATCTTCTGATGTGTTCCACCATATTTCAAAAATTTTTGAGTGGTCCACTTTGGTTTTATTTTGTCTTCCCAGAACTAGTTTCTGTTATGGCTTATAACAGTACATAATAACTCTGATATATGGTGTGTCCTGAGCTTCTCTGTTTTAATGCATCTAATTTGTAGTGCATTTGGAATCCCCTAGATATCTTGCTAGAATATATTTTAGTTAACAATAAGCATGGTGGCTCACACCTGTAATCTAGCTACTAAGGATACTGAGATCTGAGTATCCCAGTCAGGCAGGAAAGTCCGTGAGATTCTTTTCTCTAATTAACCAGCAAAAATCTGGAAGTGGAACTGTGGCTCAAGTGGTGGTATACCAGCCTTGCATGAAAAAACCACAGTGAGAGCATGAGGCCCTGAGGCCCTGAGCTCAAGCCCCAGTCCTGGGTGCGTGTGGACACATACACAGAAAAAGAACAGACTGCTTTTCTGTCCGACATCTTGATGAAGCCACAGCGGTCTCTCCCGCTCTCCAGGCCTTGCGATGCCGCCCATGGATGACAAGAAGAAGAAAGATGCCGGGAAGTCAGCCAAGAAAGACTAGGACCCAATAAACAAGTCTGGGGGCAAGGCCAAGAAGAAGTGGTCCAAAGGCAAAGTTCGGGATAAACTCAACAACCTCATCCTGTTTGACAAAGCCACTTACGACAAACTCTGTAAGGAAGTTCTGAACTAGAAACTCATAACCTCTGCAGTGGTTTCTGAGAGGCTGAAGATTCGTGGCTCCCTGGCCAGGGCAGCCCTTCAGGAGCTGCTTAGTAAAGGACTTATCAAGTTAGTCTCAAAGCACAGATCTCAAGTAATTTATACTAGAAATACTAAAGGTGGAGATGCCCCGGCTGCTGTTGAAGATGCATGAACAGATACAATCAGCTGTACGTTTGGAAAAATAAAACTTTATTACACCAATGAAAAAAAAAGAAAAAGAACAGACTCTAAGTAATGCTTTTGGAGAGTAAGCTAGCAATCATATAGGCTAGTGTATTTTACCCACTGGGTTCTCAGTTTTTGTCTTTGGTTTATTTAGTTATTTATTGACTGCTGTGTGCTATGTGCGAGGATCATATGCATTCTTTATATTCCCATAATCTGATCTATGGATAGAGAAATACAAATAGTTATCCTTCATTATCCATGGCAGATTTGTTCCAGGACCTCTTGGATACTCATATTTAGAAAGCTGAGTTCCCTTATATGAAAATAGTATAGGGCTGGGAAGGTGGATCAGTAGTAGAGCGCTTGCATTGCATGCCTGAGGCCCTGGGTTCGATTCCTCAGCACCACATAAGCAAAAAGAAAAAAGCCAGAAGTGGCGCTGTGGCTCATGTGGTAGAATGCTAACCTTGCTGAAGAGCTGAGGGACAGCGCCTAGGCCCAGAGTTCAGGCCCCATGACTGGACCCCCAAAAAAAAAATTAAAAAAAAAAGAAAATAGTGTAGGATTTGCACAGAACCTGTGAACATTCTGTACACTTTAAATCATCTCTAGATGACTTATAATGCTTAATACATTGTAAATGCTATGGAAAGAATTGTTTCACTGATTGTTAGGAAATAATGAAAAGAAAACATTTATACACATATACATACATGTGTATTTATGTATACATATGTGTATAAATGTTTTATGTATATATATTTATGTATGTATATTTATGTATATATATTTATATATGTGTATGTATTTATATACATACATATACATGTATTTATTTATTGCTAGTATTGAGGCTTGAGAACTCAGGGCTTGGACTTTGCCCTTTAGCTTTTTCATGCAAGGTTGACCTTCTACAACTTGAGCTATATCTTTACTTTCGGCTTTTTGCTGCTTAGTTAGAGATAAGGGTCTCATGGACTTTTTCTGCCCAGGCTGGCTTTGAGCTATAATCCTCAGATCTCAGTGTCCTGAGTAGTTAGGATATAGGCATGAGCCACTAACAACAGGCTCACCAATTTATATATACATATCTATGTATGTAAGTATCCATACATGCATGCATGCATGTATGTATGCATGTATACTTATGTTGGTCCTGGAGCTTGAATTCAGAGTCTGGGCACTGTCTTTTGAGCTTCTTTTGCTCAAAGCTTGTGTTCTACCACAGTTCCACTTCCAGCTTTTGGTAATTTATTGGAAATAAGAGTCCTATATATTTTCCTGCCTGGGCTGGCTTTGAATCACGATCTTAGCCTCCTGAGTAGCTAGGACTACAGGTGTGAGTCACTCTCAGCAGTGCATATCCCATAGGACTTGTTATGTGTATATACATAGGTTGTAGTATGTGGGGGAGGGGATGGTGGTAAATATTCCTGCTTATACTATGTGAAAACCGAACACACATATCAAATTTTGCACAGAGAGATGACATTGGAAGCTCCCTTGACAAGGTGTGCCCTTTAAAAATACAGCTCTACTCCCCTACGACCCAGCAATCCCACTTCTGGGCTTTTACTCAAATGATCACAAACAAGGCCATACTAAAGCTACCAGTACAACTATGTTTGTCACAGCATTATTCACCATAGCTAAGATATGGAACCAACCCAGATGCTCCTCAGTAGATGAATGGATCAAGAAAATGTGGTATATAAATACAATGGAATTATAGGCTTCCATCAGAAAGAATGACACCACCTCATTTGTTAGGAAATGGAAAAAAATCATATTAAGTGAAGTAAGCCAGATCCAAAGAAATATAGGGCCATGGTTTCCCTCATTTGCAATAATTAGTATATGTCTAGGATAATTTTATCCGATGTGCAGAAAAGCTCAAAAGCTATGTACATATAACCATATAAGATGATGCTAAGGGGCTGGGAAGGTGGCTCAGTGGTAGAGCACTTGCCTTGCATGCCAAAGGTCCTGGGTTCGATTCCTCAGCACCACATAAGCAAAAAGAAAAAAGCCAGAAGTGGCGCTGTGGCTCAAGTGGTAGAGTGCTGGCCTTGAGCTGAAGAGCTGAGGGACAGCCCAGGCCCAGAGTTCAGGCCCCATGACCTGATGATGCTAAGCAAAATGAAACCCAATATATGGATACAAGAGGTCTTTGTTGTTGTTGTTTTTAATGTACTATGTGATTTTTGTTTCCTTTGTATGTTCTTCCCCCTATGGTATATCCCCTGTTGTCACTGTACTTGATTTTGGTACCCTGCATCTTAGGGGAAGGGAAATAAAAAAATGCTGAAACAAGGACACAGGATGACCCATTGCAACAATGATACTCATAAGACACTATATGGGAAGTGAACTTTACAACTTTGGGCTGGAAGAGTGAAGGAGGTAGGGGAGGGAAGGGATAGTGGGAGAACAACAAAGGAGAGGGTAACAATGCTGGACAAGAAATGTACTCATTATCTTACTCATGTAACTGTAACCCCTCTGTACAGAATCTTTACAATAAAATAAAATTAAAAAATATAGCTCTATTAATGAGACTACAAAACAGTTTTCCTTGTCCTGAATTTAAAACTTTATTTTAAACACCAGGCTCATACCTATAATCCTACCTACTCAGGAGACTCAGAGCTGAAGATTGAGGTTTAAATCCAGCTGTGGCAGGAAAATACATGAGACTCATCTCTAATTAACTAGCAAAAAGCCAGAAGTGGAGGTGTGGCTCAAGTGTTTGAATGCCAGCCTTGGGCAAAAAGGCATAAGCATGAGGCCCTGAGTTCAAGCCCTAGAACCTTTGCAAAAAACCAAAACCAACCAACCAACCAAACAAGAAAACAATTTGTCAAGTTTTAGAAACTTTGCTTTACTATTGTTTTTTAGGGCTTACCTCTGTAACTCACAGTAGTATTTTTCTTTACACTGACAGTACGGCCAAGTACAGTGTGTTGACATTTCTACCTCGATTCTTGTATGAGCAGATTAGAAGAGCTGCTAATGCCTTCTTCCTCTTCATTGCCTTATTACAGGTAATGTCAAAAAGTTACTTAAAATTTGCCATCTCAATCATACAAAATGAGAGTTTCCTAATAGATTTCTAAATTGGAAAAGTGTTATAATATTTACATATTGTTTTGCCCATCCCCATCAAATCTTTGCTAATGTGCAACCTATCTTAACAGAATGAATACCAGCAAGCTGAAACATGTTTTGTCTGGGTGTGGGGAGGGAGAGATTGTTGGGATATATGAATAGGGAGAGGCAGAGTGGCCAAGTGTAGTCATAATATTCAATGTACATATGTGAAAATGGAACCAGTTAACTTGAAGCGGGGATGGGTTGAGTTGGGAGGAATGGAAGAATGATGAAAGGGGTGGCATTGATCAACATGCATCGAACTCATAAATTGACATCTTGACTTGAAACCCCTTTGTACAAGCCTACTTGATAATAATAATAAAGAAAAAAACAACCATTGCTGTGTGAACAAAACACGCTCTTTGTATAAAACAGATGTGTTTTGGTATTGCCTCAAGGAAAATTACAATTTCTAAAAGAGGTATGGAAACACTGGTTCTCAGGGGGTTGTATGTCTGAACCTTTTTCTATTCCAAACTCATGGCTGAAGTTTAGATAGGTTTAAAAACAAGGCAATCAGTTTTGTGCAACAGAAATGGAAAATCTTTGCAAACAAGTGAGTCCTGAGTGACAGACTTCCTCTTGTCTCTTCCAGCAAATTCCAGATGTGTCTCCCACAGGAAGATACACCACCCTGGTGCCATTGATTATTATCCTAACAATTGCAGGCATCAAAGAGATTGTAGAAGATTTTGTAAGTTTTTGCTTTTGGGTAATAAAATATATTTCATGGTATAGAACTTATTACATATATACATTTCTTTGGATAACATGCCTAAGACAGAAAATAGCTTCAGTAGCCTCTAGATGAGGGATGGTATTTTTTAAAGAAGGGAACTCAGAATATCTTGATTACAGTGATCTAAAGTAGTTCTAACTTTGTTTTCAATTGTTGGATCTCTGGAACCTTTCTCTTGGAGAGGTATTACTATTGTTTCTTAAATCCTACTTTAGAGCTTGTTAATTTGGATAGCAAATGTGCTGTCTAGGAATATAGCATTGGCTTTGCTATCCCCAAAGTAATTTTATAGGAGTTTATCTCATAAGCTGGGTGCTGGTGGCTCACACCAGTAATCTTAACTACTCAGGTGGCTGAGATCTGAGTAGCATTGTTCAAAGCCAGGTAGGGCACGGAAAATCTGTGAGACTCTTATCTCTACTAAACTACTTTAAAAAAAAGCCCAAAGTGGGGCTGTGGCTAGCTGAGAGTAGGTATAGCACTCAGGCCCTGAGTTCAAGCTCAGGACTAGCATGCGCGTGCACATGTACACACACACACACACACACACACACACACACACACACACACACACACACACACACACAAACACACACACTCGGATTTGTCTCTTGGCATTTCCCCGCGGGTATCTCCAAATTCATTGGCTAAAACAATGTCCCTATTGTGTCTCCTTTTCCCTTCCTTTCTCTCTGGTCCCTTCTTCTTTGCTTGCTCATCTACACACATTAGCTTTCTCACACACAAATGGTGGATAAGTAGTAAATTAATGTAAACTGAAAATTAAAATTGATTGTGATTGCTTCATCATATCAAACCATCCTTTTAGTCTGTTTATAAATAAATGAGAAGTAAGGCATTTTATACTTTACAGTCATTGTTAATTATTAGAACTAAAATATAGATAAATGAAGAGAAGAAAGCAGTAAAGGAGAGAATGCAGTAAATAATTGTACATATCCTACAAATTAAGGTTAGGAGGGATGGATGAGAATGAATGTTGAAAGAGGTGACTGATCAAGATGCATATATAAACTGCTTTGTTAAATGGCAGCTCCTTTGTACAACTATTTAAAGATAATAAAAATATAAGGAGCTAAAATATAATCACATCACCACGGTGGGTCTGTTTAAATGTTGTCAAAGATCGTCGATCATAAACCATGAAGCTGGATTGTACAACATTAGCATTGTAGTTTCTTGGCCTCCAGGTTTTTCTCCAGTCTTATTCTTTGTCATTTCAGTTATTCACTTGGAATTTTTGAATTTATGACTGTTTTTCTTTCTGTAACAGAAACGACATAAGGCAGACAATGCAGTTAATAAGAAGAAAACAATAGGTAAGATATCATTTTTTTCTACTCTTAAACTTTAAGATTACGAACTATATTTAAGGGATTCACAATAAGCAGTTAATGATATGGATACAAATTAAGAAAATCACCTACAAGGGGCTGGGAAGGTGGCTCAGTGGTAGAGCTCATGCCTTGCATGCCAGAGGCCCTGGGTTTGATTCCTCAGCCCCACATAAGCAAAAAGAAAAAAGCCAGAAGTGGCGCTGTGGCTCAAGTGGTAGAGTGCTAGCCTTGAGCTGAAGAGCCGAGGGACAGCGCCCAGGCCCAGAGTTCAGGCCCCATGAACGGACCCAAAAAAAAAAACAAACAAAAAAGAAAATCACCTACAAAATACAAAAGAAATAATAACATATAATAACAAACAACCCTTAGTCTTGATAGTTTAAACAGGATCTGAATAGATCTAAATAGGATTTCAAATTTTAGAAAAAGTTGTAATTTTTAAGAATTGGACAGCTGGGGCTGGGAAGGTGGCTCAGTGGTAGAGCGCTTGCCTTGTATGCATGAGGCCCTGGGTTCAATTCCTCAGCACCACATAAGCAAAAAGAAAAAAACTGGAAGTGGTGCTGTGGCTCAAGTGGTAGAGCGCTAGCCTTGAGCTAAAGAGCTGAGGGACAGTGCCCAGGCCCAGAGTCAGTTCAGGCCCCACGACTGAAACCCCCTGCCCCCCCCCAAAAAAGAATTGGACAGCGTGTGTGTGTGTGTGTGTATGTGTATATATGACTAGGACTTGAACTTAGGGCCTGGACGATGTCCCTGAGCTTTTTTGCTCAAGACTAGCACTCTACCACTTTAGCTGCAGCTCCACTCCTGGCTTTTTAGTGGTTAATTGGAAATAAGAATCTTACAGGCTTACCTTCCTGGGCTGGGTTTGAATTTTTATCTTCATGTCTTAGCATCCTAAGAAGGTAAGATTACAGGAGTGAGCCACCATCACTCAGCAAGAAATTGGATAGTTGTTATGTACCCAAAAGGTCCAAGTATTCAAACGTTCTTATCCTTGGGTTATTCTTCCCTGCCTCTCTTTTCCTATTTTTTTCATTGTTTTATGTCAGATCTATCTATCTATATGTCTGTCTGTCATTGTCTGTTTTGTTCTGGTACTGGGCCTAGAGTTTTTGCTTGGCTTTTTCTGCTCAAGGCTGGTGCTTTACCACTTGAGTCTCACTTCCACGTATACGTTTTTGCTGGCTAGTTGGAGATAAGAATATCATGGACTTTTCTGCCTGAGCTGGAATCAAACCTCAATCTTCAGATTTCAGCCTCCTGAGTAGGTAGGATTATAAGCATGAGCCACCTATGTTCAGCACATCAGATCTCTTGCTACAGTTGTTGCAGTTGTATAACATTAGGCTTTTTTCCTGTTCTGTATTGAGTAGAATCAAACTTTACTTACATGTACACAAAAACATTTAGGTGTGTACACTAATGTATATATTGAAGAGGTAGATTGGAGTTCCATTTTTTGTGAATGGTGATTTTATACCTTTCTCTGTAAGGGTATAATATATTAGAGATAATAAATGCAAGTATATAAGGAATCACTTAGAGTTTTGGAAAACTTTATTTTAATTACCATCAGCACTAACTACTTCATTGTGTTTTATTATTCTTCTTTTACAGTGTTAAGAAATGGTATGTGGCACACCATTGTATGGAAAGAGGTAAAAACTATTTTTTAAACATGATATCAGAAAGCATTGTTTTAGAACTTACAATGAATCCCTGGTGCTGAGGATATTGTAGTGTTTTTTATTAAAGCTATTTCTATTTTATATATGTCTTTTATTAAAGCTCTCTCTATTTTATATATGTCTCTATTTTATATATGAATGTTTCCTCCTATCTGGTCTCTTTGAGAATATACCCAGGGTGGTAGTTCACATAGTGAACTTCATTTCTTCTAATGGGTAGTTTGAATTCTCAAAGTATTTTCTCTCTTTTAACCCAACAAGAGAAACATTGATTGTTTCTGGTCTTCTGTTTTTCTCTTCACCCAAATTCAAGTGTTAAAGTTGTAATTTGTAACTTTTGATATCCTCATTGCTATTTTTTTCATGCTCATATTTGTGATTCTAGTGCTCAGGAGGTTGAGATCCGAGGATTGTGATTCAAAGCCAGCCCAGGCAGGAAAGTCTGTGAGACTATCTCCAGCCAACTTCCAAAAAAACTGCAAGAAGAGCTGTGGCTTAAGTGGTAGAGCATCAGCCTTGAGCACAAAAGCTCAGTGACAGCCCAGGCTTTGAGTTCAAGCCCCTAAACACACACACACACACACACACACACACACACACACACACACTCACACACAATTACCTTTAAGTACATAGGTGTTTCAACTCCACATGTCAGTTTATGAGTACACACAGAGTCTCGATTAGTGTGGCCCCTTTTGTTGTTATTCCTCCATCCATCCCAACTCCACCTATCCTCTCATGTTACCTTGATTCCATTTTCAGATTTGTACATTGAATAATATGACCATATTTACCCATGCATCCTATCTTTGTCTATTTTCATTATTTTGGGTGAAAAGGTTTTTACTAAAATACAGAGGTTTAAGGGTAGGGTACTCCTTTGTTTTGGTCTCAAAGTGAGGGGTAACAGAACATAGCCAATAGCATCTGCTCTTTACAATTGTACCAAGGAAGGCTTTTCTGCCTAGTTGTGGAGAATGTAAGCTCCAACCCAGAAAGACCACACAGACACACAGGCATGTAGAACAAAGAAAGAAAGGTTTATTGCCAGCAAAGGCGTTGACAAGGCCATTTCTCACAGGGAGAAGTGGTGCCTGTCTTTGTCTGAGATGACTACATATAACGCGGGTGCAGGCAGGGGGAGGGGAGTGGGTTGAGGGGGAGGGGGGAGCTCGAGGTGCTAGGAGGTAGGGACCTTGGTGTGGATGTGTGGGCCCAGGACTTCATGGCGGCTGCCTAAGTAGTAGATAAGGGGCCTGCAGTTGGCCAGATTTTCTGATTTAGTCAGTCTGGGTAGGTCCTAGAATATGTGTTTCTAAAAGGTGCATAGGAGAGGCTACTGCAACTGGTATGGTGAAAGGGACAAACAGTTCATCATAAAGCAGAACGCCCGCTGAGCCATGCAAAGGGGTGAAGCAGGTGCCTGGGCCTGTCTAGGAGGGGCACTAAATCCAGAGCTTCCAGTTCAGACATTCCTCAGCTGATGTTCGCAACAGGGTGTCCAGGAGAGCCACCCAGAGCTCCTTAACTCTTGGTACAGAGTGGAGTGGGAATGTTGGAGGAGGAAGAGATGAGTCCCTGAGCTCTGGCTGATGGGGAGGCAACTCTAGGGCAGATTTCAGTGTCTTTGATCCACTTTGAGAGGATCTGTTGGCTGTTTCACAGTTTAGAAACTCAAAGGACCCTATGAGGAAAGAGTGATTTTAAACACTTATAAAAGATTTAGCCAGGCACTGGTGGCTCATGCCAGGATGTGGAGATCTGAGGATACCAGTTCAAAGCTAATCTGTGCAGGAAAGCTCAGAAGACTCTTATCTCTAGCAAACTACCAAACAAAAACAAAAACAAAAAACAAAAAACAACTAGTATATGTCTGAGACAAGCAGAAAAGGTCAGATAAGTTGATGTTCGATGAAATGAACCCCAAGATAAGTATTCAAATGTTTTTTTCTTTCTTGCGATTGTTTCTAACATATTTACAAGATGATTTCTTTGTTGCTTTGTATGTCCCTCCCCCATGGTATAACCCCTGCTTTCATTGTATTTGATGTTGGTATAATTTGTGGAGGGGAAGGGCAAAAACAAACCGTTTAAATAGGGATACAGGTGGAGCCATTGCAATAATGAGAAGTAAAAGTTGTTATGTTAATAAATGAACTTTAGGACTTTGGCTGGGGGGGGGGTGGTGGTGGGGAGATGGGAAGGAATGGGAAGGGGAAACAAAGGAGGAGGCAACAATGCTTGATAAGAAATGTACTCATTTTCTTTTTTTTTTTATTTTTATTTTTTGTGAACATACTGTACAGAGGGGTTACAATTTCATGGGCAAGATAATGAGTTCATTTCTTATCAAGCATTGCAGCCTCCTCCTTTGTTTACCCTTCCCAGCCTCCCTCCGCCCCCCCACCCAATCTTCCCCTCCCTACCAAAGTTGTAAAGTTCGTTTTCGACAATGTACTAATTTTCGACATAACGACTTGTACTTCTCATTGTTGCAATGGGTCTACCTGTATCCCTATTTAAACGACTTGTTTTTCCCCTTCCCCTCCACAAATTATACCGACATCAAATACAGTGAAAGCGAAAACGAACTTTACAATTTTGGTGGGGAGGGGGGGCGGGGAGGATTGGGTGGGGAGGCTGGGGAGGATTGGGTGGGGAGGCGGGAGAAGGATGGGAAGGGATGGGAAGGGGAAACAAAGGAGGAGGCTACAATGCTTGATAAGAAATGTACTCATTATCTTGCCCATGTAATTATAACTCCTCTACAGTATTTTCACAATAAAATAAATTTTAAAAAAAGAAATGTGCTCATTACCTTGCCCATGTAATTGTAACCCTTCTGTACGGTATCTTCACAATAAAAAATTAAAAACAAAAACAAACCCAGAAGTAGAGCTGTGGCTCAAGTGGTAGAGTCTTGAGAAAAAACAAACAAATGAAAAATACCCTCTCAGGGACAGTGGCCAGGCTGGACTTCAAGGCCTAGGAGGGCATCACAAAAAAAAAAAAAGAAAAAGAAAAAGATTTCTTTCCCATTGTACTAATTCTGTCAGATGGTGTCACACAAGGGACACTCATGTGTTACAGACATCAAATAGAAAATCATCTTCAGACAGAGACCCAAGCAAAGTAGTGCTTGGCTATTGAGATTACAAATGCTTCTTTATTTTGAAGTATTTGAGTATGAAAGAAAGTAATAATTTTCCCTATTCCCCTACTTTCTAGCTTTTTAAAATTAATTGCTTCTGTTTTTTTTTCTGTGTAAATATAGGATTTTTTTTTTTACTTTATATATCACTTACTTTTATTGTTGCCATAAAGGTGATACACAGAGGGGTTACAGTTATATAAGTCAAGTAAAGAGTACATTTCTTTTTGGACAGTGTAACCCCTTTTCAAAACACTTTCAACTTGCATAATTATCCCTCATTTTTGTAGGGATGGTTGTTAAAATTATATAGTATTGTCTTTATTATGGAATATGCTTAACTTACTGCCTTTAAATTGGATACTAACTTGTGCTTTGGATTGGTGCACTAACATCAAATGCACAATGGTTCTACAAGTTGATTTGTACTTATTTTTTTTTCTTTATGGTAAACTGGGAGCCTGGTGGCTCCATGCCTGTAATCCTAGCTACTCAGGAGGCTGAGATCTGAGGAACATGGTTCAAAACCAGCCCAGGAAGGAAAGTCTGTGAGATATATCTTTGATTAAAAACCCAAAAGCTGGAAATGGAGCTCTGGCTTAAGTAGTAGAGTGCTAGTTTTGAGTGGAAAAAGCTGAGACCCAGACCAGTACCAGACCAAAATCAAAACAAAACAAACAAAAACCCCCTAAAACCTTCTCACATATTTTGGCAAGCAGTTCACAGAATTCATACTACTAATAAGTCACCTTCAGGAACCCACCTTAGTGTTCTTTTGTTTTTGTGTGGTGTAGGTTGTGGTGCTGGTGATAGAACCTAGGCTTCACATATACTAGGCAAATTGTCTAGCCCTCAACAAAAAAATAAACTGGAAACTTGTTAGTGGATATGATCCAGTAGCCAGTAATTTATTTATTTTGTGCTGGTACTTGGCTTTACACTCAAGGCTAGTGCTCTACCACTTGAGCCACAGTTGCACTTTCAGCTTTTGGCTGGTTAATTGCAGATAAGAATAGTATGACTTTTCTGTCAGGGGTGGCTTTGAAAAGTCTGCCCATATTCTGTAGGATCCTCCCCCCAAATATGATAAATCCTCCGTTGGTTGAATCTGGATGTAGAACCTGTGGATTCAGAGGGTGTCTGCCCCTTATAAGTTAGTAGTATGTATTGAAGTCTTTTCCTTTTATTATTGTGGAGGCTAAGATTTGTGGTGTACACAATTTTTCCTTCACATATTTAACTGCCTTTATCACATTTGTGCTTTCTCTTCTTTCTTACCTCTCTGTCCCTGTCCCCTGGTCTCTAGGTGGCAGTGGGAGACATCGTGAAGGTCCTTAATGGCCAGTATCTTCCAGCTGACATGGTCCTGTTCTCCTCCAGGTCAGGTGTGCTAGTGGTCACAGTTCTTGAAATAAGTGTTAAGAACCTATTAAGTGACAACCACAGAAATCCTGAGTGACTTTTTATTGCCCCCTTTTAAGCCTATGAATTACCATCTTTTCCCCTTACTTGTTCTAGCTGTTAAGTTGAACATTCCTAATTAATGATAGTTGCAGATTTTGGAACCTTCTGGATTTCTGATTCAGTTAGGGACGTTGAGCTGTCTAAAGCTCATCTTTTGAAATTGAACGCAGTGAACAATCTGAAACATATCTGATGCCACACATTTTGGGTAAGAGAAAATTAACCTGCACTTTTGTCAATTGCGTTGTCTTGCCTTGACTCTTACTTTTCTTTCTCTCTTTCTTTTAGACTTAATCTGAACTACTCCTTCTCCTTCTTCTTCTCCTCCTCCTCCTCTTCCTCCTCTTTCTCTTTCTCCTTTCTTCTTTCTTCTTTTTTTCTATGTTGTGCTTGTTTTGGGGCTTTAAGTCAGGACCTGGGTGCTGTCCCCAAGCCTTTTCTGTGCTCAAGGCTAGTGTTGGACCACTTGAGCCAGCTCCACTTCTGACTTTTTGGTGATTAATTAGAGACAGAAAGTCTCACAGATTTCTCTGTCCAGGCTGGCTTCCAATCTTGATCCTCAGATCTCAGCATTCTGAGTAGCTAGGATTAACTCTTCCTATAGGTACTGACTCATTTAGTTTCCTGGCTATTCTGGGAGATTTCTCATCAATGATGGGGACATCAACACAGTTGAGAGCAGGGAAGGTCCACTAGCCTCCAGGCTGAAGTTTATCTATGATTCAGCATAGTATGTGATGGGTCTAGCCAGCAGTCTATCTGGCATAACTCAGTGCTGCTCATAAACAGCACAGACATGACCTTTAGAGGATGCTTAGTTTTTATTCTCCTGTATTTGTCCTAAGTTTTAGTGTCATCTTCTCTCCTAGAAAAAGGTATCATCAGTGGCTCATGCCTGTAATCCTAGCTATTCATGAGGCTAAGATCAAAGGATCCCTGTTTGAAGCCAGCCTGTGAAGCCTGTGCAGGAAAGTCTAGGAGATTCTTATTTCCAATTAAGCTGGAAATGGAGCTGTGGTGCAAGTAGTAGAGTGCTAGCCTTGTTCAGTCATAGTATTCAAGCCCTGAGTTCAAACCCCAGGACCAGCACACACACAAATAGGAACCAAAGCCTATGGAGGGGTGAAAAACATCATATACACAGGTGGGATTTATGATTGACCCACTTACTGGTAATGAGGAAACTTTTAGACGTATGAAAATATAAATTACTTTATAGTTTGGTCTATGGGTCTTGGCTGTGACTCTCAGATCATGTGGATTTGATAGGGGATGGTTTATCTGAGCTGAATTAGATTTTCAGGATGTTCAGTGTATCTGAATGTATATTTATGCTGGACAGTCTGTAGAATACATTATAGCATGTCTTTCTAGTAACCCATGATAGTCTTTGTTCATACATGAGAAAACAAGGGCTCCAAAAGATTAAACGACTTGCTAAGGTCATGAGTTACTAGGTGATTTTAATGCATTGAATTGGGTCTCAGAATTAATTCTCTTCACTACAACTATACCATCTAAACCAGAAATAGCACCAATTATGGTTGTGTTTTCTCTTTAACTGTTTGGTACTGGCTAAAACATCTAATTTTAAGGACAGAATAATCAAAGAGATTAGATATTTTAGCCAGGCATCTCACACCTATAATCCTAGCTATTCAAGCTAAGATATGAGGACCATGGTTCAAAGCCAACCTGGGCAGGAAAGTCCATGAGACTCTTATATCCAATTAATTAGCAAAAAGCTGGAATTGGAGGTGTGACTCAAGTAATAGAAAACCGGCCTGGAGTGGAAAAGCTATAGGACAATGCCCAGGCCCTGGGTTCAACTTCTGGTACCAGCATACATCCCTCTCCCCCAAATTAGATGTTTTGATTTAAGAATTATCTTTTGACATTGCAACAAATTTTGGGAACACTAAGGCTTGCCAAGCATGTATAGTGATCTTTCAACTCTGATGGCTGTAATTTTCTTCAAAACACTAGTTTGTGGGGGTGTGCCTTGGGCAGGTCTTTCTGTCTAATGGAGATCCAGCCTCAGCCTTTGAGAATTCCTCCTACCCCTGCAGTGGCTGGATCTTTGCTGGTGTATCACTGGTCTTAGTCAACCCATCCCTCTCTGTCTCATCCACTTGAAGTCATTTCTATCTGCTTGAGACCAAATGGCCATTAAGTGGACCCATGAAAGTAGATTATTTGGATATGCAATGTTGGATTAGTGTTTGGCACTGAAGAAGAGTGTGCATCTTCCTTTCTCATCAATTATACCTTCTAAAGTGGTGGTTTATGACAATATATTTGAATTGCCTATCCGTTTCTGTGCATAGAGATTTCATGAGCTGTGAATTTGTAGAAAGGATGTTATTCAAATTGGCCTTTTTTCTTTGTTCCTCTTCTTAGTGAACCTCAGGCAATGTGCTATGTTGAAACAGCTAATCTAGATGGGGAAACCAACCTTAAAATACGTCAGGTAAAGTCACCTTTATGATTTATGGTTTTATAGAGGCTGAAATTGCAAATATGGCCCCTTATGTACCAGCCAGTGTCTAGAGCAGACACAGGGAATAGACAAAGCCTCAGTCCTAAAGTTTGTTGGAAATAAGATTCCAATTGTAGAATCTTGTATGAATTGTGAACAATATACTATATATTATATACAGTATTGTATATTACATACACTATTTCCTTTCCTCAAATAACTTAAAAAAATTTGTGCTGTTTTAGGGGCTTGAACTCAGGGCCTAGGTACTGGACCAGAACTTCTTTGGCTCAAGGCTAGTTACCACTCTGAGCCCACAGTGCCACTTCTGGCCTTTTCTGAGTAGATTATTGGAGATAAGAATCTGATGGGCTTTCCTGTCTGAGCTAGCTTGGAACTGTGATTCTCATCTCTCAGCTCCTGAGTAGCTAGGATCACAGGTGGGAGACAACAGCTCACACATATACATGTTCATATATGTACATACATACATAATATGTACACACAATATTAGTCATACACACATATTTTTAGCTTAAAAATACAGGTTTTCTATTTATTTAAAAATAACTTCAGGCCAGGTGCCAGTGACTCATGCTTGTAATCCTAGTTTTCAGGAGGCTGAGATCTGAAGATCACAGTTTGAAGCCACTTCAGCTGGGAAAGTCTGTGAGACTCTTGTCTCCAATTAACTTCCAAGAAAGTAAAAGAGGAGCTGTGGCTTGAGTGGTAGAGCACTAGCTTGAGCAAAAAAAAGCCCAGGGACAGTGCCTAGGCCCTCAGTTTAAGCCCTGCTATTGTGTTCTGAGACTGCTATTTATAGCATCATGATACTCCAAGTTGTCAAGGCATAGAGTAAAACCTCCCTAAAGCTAAGTAACTTGTTTTTAACAGTGTTACTTATTACATAAAACAGATTCCTTATGTTTAACATTGTCTTCTGTATAAAATAAGCATGAATTTTAATTTGAAAATGTTTCAATTTCAACTCTAATTCTCTGGTTCAGTTACTTTTCCAAAACTGAGTTATATTCTATACATAAATAGCCTGTGATAAAATTTAAGTTTTTTAAAGATTTTTAAAAACAAAACCTCTATCTTCTTGCAGTTTTAAAATGGCCCCAAAATGTAACTTCATACTTGTCTTACTTTATAGTACATTTTATTCTAATATGAAGAATAGTAGTCTGTAAAGTATAAGAATTTTAAGCATTTTAAACTGAGTGTTAGTGGTTCATGCCCACAATCCTAGCTACTCAGAAGGCTGGAATCTGAGGATCATTGTTCCAAGCTAGCCCTGGCAGGAAAGTCCATGAGACTCTATTCCCAAAAATATTCAGCTGGAGGTGTGGCTGAATTGGTAGAAGGCCAGCCAAACAAGCAAGCAAGCAAGCAAGCATGAGATCTGGAGTTCAAACCTACATACTGCCAAAAAATAAAAATAAAAAAATAAAAATTTAACATTCAACTCTTTTTCTGTTACATAAACTTGAATTCAGTAATTTTGTTTACATATATTTCTTTAGATTGTTTTCTTCTATGTTTAAAGATTTGGCCAGGCATGGTAGCTCATACCTATAATCCTAGCTATTCATGGGGTGAAGATTGTGGGAGGATTATGGCTCCAGGGTAGCCTGGGCAAAGATTAATGAGACCCCATCTCAATCAATAAATTGGGTGTGTATGCATCTGTCATCCTAGCTAGGCAAGAGGCATATGTAGGAAGATCATGGTCTTAGGATGGCCCTGGCAGAATCATAAGACCTCACTTGAAGAATAATTAAAACAAAAAGGGCTGGGAACATGGTTCAAGTGTTAGAGCTCCTGCCTAGCAAGTATGAGAACCTGAGTTTGAACCTCAGAATCATCCTCTCTAAAAGAGTTAATGATTCAGGTGATTGTTTCTAACACATTTATAAGATTATTTCTTTGTTGCTTTGTATGTACCTCCCCCATTGTATAACCCCTGCTTTCACTGTATTTGAGGTTGGTATAATTTGTGGAGGGGAAGGGAAAAAACAAATCGTTTAAATAGGGGTACAGGTGGATCCATTGCAACAATGAGGAGATGTACAAGTCGTTATGTGGAAAAACGAACTTTACAACTTTGGTGGGGGGGGGGAGGATTAGGTGGGGGGTGCGGGGGAAGGATGGGAAGGGATGGGAAGGGGAAACAAAGGAGGAGACTACAATGCTTGATAAGAAATGTACTCATTATCTTGCCCATGTAATTGTAACCCCTCTGTACGGTATTTTCACAATAAAAAAAAGAAAATAATTTTAAGGAAAAAAAATAAAAGAGTTAATGAGGTTTGCTATAAAATTATATTTTTATGTATATTTGGAACAAAACATTTAAAAGATTCCCATAAATAGAATACAATATTAGTGGGATCCCTTATTCTACCTTTATGACCACAGTTAGAGGCCAGCTAATAGTTCATACCTTCTATAAGATGTGTTAATTATTACTTAAGCATAGTTATTCCCAGCACAAGGATGGGACCATCATCTTTGCCAAATTAAAATCTTTGATATTTTTGCACCTCATTGTTGTGCAGTTTATCAAAAGCAGCTGGATTTAATTTGCCAAATTATTGTATTATAGATAGCTCATTGTGCCTTATAACTGATGGAATGTTGGAGAAGGATATTGCCCTTTAAACATGAGAGAGTGCATTTATTTTTCTCTGTCGGTTTAACATTTTAGGGTTTGAGTCACACTGCTGACATGCAGACTCGAGAAGTGCTGATGAAACTGGCTGGAACTATAGAATGTGAAGGGCCCAATCGCCACCTCTATGACTTCACTGGGACCTTGCACTTGGATGGGAAAAGGTAACTCTGTCTCTCTCCTCCCTCCTTTCCTCCTTCTCTTCCTCTCTCCTTCCTTCCTCCCAATCCTGGGGCTTGAACTCAGAGCCTGGATACTATCCTTGAGCTGTTTTTGCTCAAGGGTGGTGCTCTGCCACTTGAGCCACCTCGCCACTTTCAGATTTTTGGTGGTTAATTTGAGAAAAGTCTCCTGGACTTTCCTGCTGGGGCTAACTTTGATCCTCAAAACTCAGCCTCCTGAGTAGCTGTAGGATTACAGGTGTGAGCCACTGGTGCCTGGCTTGGCTGTCATTTCTCATATCCAACCATTCTTTTTTTTTTTTTTTTGCCAATCCTGGGGCTTGAATTGAGGCCCTGGGCTGTGTCCCTGAGCCTATCTGTGCTCAAGTCTAGCACTCTACCACTTAAGTCACAGAGCCACTTCTGGCTTTTTCTGTGTATGTGGTACTGAGGAATTAAACCCAGGGTTTCATGCATGCCAGGCAAGTGTTCTACCACTAAGCCACATTCCCAGCCTTCATATACAATCATTCTACATTTCAAATTTCTAACTGGAAGTCTCAAATTACTAAAATTCACTCACGTGATTAATCATTAAGCCATTCTTGACAAATTTGATAGAAGAGGTTTATTGCATCTTGTTTTTCTTTTTTTTTTTATCGTGAAAATACTGTACAGAGGGGTTACAATTACATGGGCAAGATAATGGGTACATTTCTTATCAAGCATTGTAGCCTCCTCCTTTGTTTCCCCTTCCCATCCCTTTTGTTTTTCTTCTTATAGAAGTCTATAATATAAATTTAGTTTCAGAAATGAATGTTTCAAGTTTTCCTTTTCTTAGCAATTTCTTTTCTGAGTATTAACAGGGAAATACGAAATAATTTTCTCTAACATTTATATAAAATAAACTGGAGCTGGATGCTAGTAGATAATGCCTGTAATCCTAGCTACTCAAGAGGCAGAGATCTGAGGAACATGGTTCAAAGCCAGCTTGGGCAGGAAAGTCTGTGGACTTTATCTCCAATTATCTTCCAAAAATCCAAAAGTGGAGGTGTGGCTCAATTGGTATAGGGTTAGCCCTGAGCAAAAAAAGCTCAGAGATAGCACCCAGATTCTGAGTTCAAGCCCCAGTACTGGCATCAAACAAAACAAAAACAAAATCTATCAAAATCTTATTTTGTTTTCCATTCTGATGAATGGATAAAGGATATTGCTCAAATTTGACTGTAGGAAACATTTATTATGAGTTTATGCTTCAGGAGAAGTTAATATATGTTCTACTGTCATTAAATATAAATGTTGTTTCTTATTTCCAGCCCTGTTGCCCTTGGGCCTGACCAGATCTTATTAAGAGGTACACAACTTAGAAATACTCAGTGGGTCTTTGGCATTGTTGTTTATACTGGACATGACACCAAACTCATGCAGGTAAAATGCTTCTGTGCTGAGAAACAATATTGACTTCTTTTTACTCCTTTTCTTTCTGTTCTAATGGAGGGTGGGATGCAGCTTTCACATTTAGGAAGCTCATTTGTCTATGAACCTAAACTAGGAAAGCTAGTGCTTTATTCTTAGATAGTTTCTTCTGGAGTTTTGTTGTTATTATCAAATATTTGTTTAGTCTGAAATATAAATGTTCTTTGTTAGACTTAAGAGGGACAATTGATTCTAACTTACTTTGTCTTCTGGACTTAAGTGGAGATTAAGTCAAATATTTTATCTCTCTTTAGTTCTCTTCGTTCCATTAATTAAAATTTTACCATAAATTCTTATTTAAATGAATTCTAGACTTGTAAACTCAGTTAAAAATTGGACTGGGAAGTTGGCTCAGTGGTAAAGTGCTTGCCTCACTTGCATGAAACCCTGGGCTTGATTCCTCAGTACCATATAAGCAGAAAAAAGTCAGAAGTGGCACTGTGGCTCAAGAGTACTAGCCTTGAGCTGAAGAGCTGAGGGACATCGCCCAGGTCCAGAGCTCAGCCCCCATGACCGACCAAAAAAAATGTTTTTGCTCATTATTTTTCATGTATGCTAGTACTTGGTCTGGCTACTTAGCTGGTGTTCTACCATTTAAGCCACAGCTCCACTTCCAGGTTTTTGCTGGTTAATTTGAGAATAAGTCTCACAGTCTTGCCTGCCCTGGTTGGCTTTCAACTGTGGTCATCTCAGCCTCCTGAGTTGTTAGGATTATAGGTGTGAACCACCTGAGCCTGACTAAACTCAATTGTTTTTGAACCAAAGAAAAAAATATAATTTTAAAATGATTTTTTCCCACTTTCCCTATAAATGGGTTTTTTCTCAAAATTTTGTTTGTGAATTTATAGCCCATGTTTATATTAACGTCATATTTTGTCAGCCTGCTTTTGAAATTCTATATAAGTCAGTGTCTTGCTGTATCTGTTTTTATTTTTTGTGACTACACTAGGCATTTTATTTTGCTAGTGGCAGTTATTAATGAGAATTGGATTTTCTTTTCCAGTATTTTTATATAACTTCTAAAGCTCATAGTGGCTATTGGTCTTAATTAAAAATAGTGTTCATACACCAAGTCTTGTGTTGGGCCATGTTGATATGACAGCAAAAAGCCAAATCATACTTTGGGGAACCAGGTAGACTGAGGAATAATGTGATATTGTAAAGTAGAAGGATAATTGTAAAAAACAGTCTTGTGGATGTATATATAGAAGGTCATCCAACCCTGGCTGGCGATGCTAGAGACCTGATATCAGGAAGGAGGTAGATTATTGTTTAGATCCCCTCCTCGAAGCCAGATAATAGAAAGATAAGAGTTAAATGATTAAGATAGACAAATGATAGAGCCCCAGTACACACCAGCTAGTTAATGCAATGAAGACAAGGAAGGCAAGTAGGAATAGAAGGCTGGAGAAACTCCCTGAAGTTGAAGATAACTGTTAAGAGTTATTGAGTGACATGTAGACAAATATATAGAAACATTGTCTTTGAGTTTCCAATTGAAGTTGAGAGTTCCCGATGAGGGGAGCCCTGAGGCTGAACCATGGCAGTATGAAGTAAAAGATCAAGCTGTGTCAGGCCATTTGTTGCTGAGCAGGAGAGAGTAAGGATTGGACAGATTGGTGCTAGGCTTTCCAAGATAGTTGAAAAAGGCAAGGCTGAGGGAGGGAGGAATTTCATGAGCTAGTTGCTTAAGGCTTCAGTGAGTGAGGAGAATTGTTAGGGGAATTCACTTGTATCTGTGAATTTTTAAACATACTATTAGAGGAACAAATGTCCAGAAGCATTGTAAATTCTTGAATATATACTCATTAACACCAGATGCCAATTGATCTGAGTCTTACTGGAAATATTCTTTGTTTGGGGAAGGATTTGGCCTGGTAAGGCAAGGAGCAGAAGGAGAGTTCACAAAGCAAGAGGAAGATGTAAGGCACTCTAGGGAGGAGGGCTTCATGGAAGGTAGAAAAATGAATAGATAATTGCTAGTTCAGACCTAGCAGATTCTGGGGTGACAGATAAAGAGGTGCCCATGCAGTGATATCTCAGAATATTGTTTATTAAATAATTAATATTACAATTACCACCGTGGGATGAGGAATAAGTTTTACTGACAGATATGGTTAAGCTACTGTTCTTTCCCCAAACCTCTGCTATTATAAGTTCAAATTAGCCCAGGGCAAACAAGGGAGTTCCAGGAAAATAGACAAAAAGACACATTCCAGGGGATAGATGACAAAAATAAATCAGAAAGTACTTAAACAGTTTCAGCAAGGGATCTAGGAATTTCCTCACTAAAATTTGTATATACTGGAACTCTGTCTTTTGACAGGAATTAATGAAAAAGGTCAAACTCGCATAAGCCTGTGCCTTTAGAGATAGGATAAACAACCAGGATATTCCCCTGATATCATTCATACTTCAAGCACACTGTCAAATCTCCTAAAACCCTCACAGAGCTCTAGGGTTCCCACAGTTAGTTAATGCTGAGAGACAAATATTGGTTAGATCAGGATGGTTCAGCATATCTAGGATGTGCCTTATCCAGCTTCCTGCTTGATTCTCATTCCTTCACAGCAGCTGATTATAATGTTTAATTTGTTGTTACAGAGTAGTTTGTGTGAATGGATAGGCTAGTGCTCTGCCATCTATTAAGTAACCTTGAACTTCTACAGCCCAGTGTCTGATGAAATACCTGGAGCACCACTGACCACAAACCACTGCCTTTTATGTTGAAGTGACAACATCTCATCATGAATGATGAGGTTAGATTTAGGCAGGGCCCCAAGACTAGTTTTCAGATTGTACCTATTACAAATTTAAGCCCTTTTCTAGTTTCATTGTATACTGATGCTCTAGGCTAGTGCTCTACTACTTGAGCCACAGCTCCACTTCTTGCTATTTCTTTGGCAGTTATTTGGAAGAAAAGTATTATGTACTTTCCTGGCCAGGCTGGCTTTGAACCACAATCATCAGATTTCAGTCTCCTGAGTAGCTAGGACTACAGGCGAGAGCCAGGAATACCCAGCTTGAAGGAACACTTTATCTGTGTTTGTAATGTTTGACCATAGAACAGCAACTGCATTGCTTTACAATTCTTAAATCCGAGCTTCTCTGCCTTCTACCCTTCAGAGTTACTTCTGGCTCATGCTTAGTGTAGTTACATGTAGGTATTTTTCATTGTTCTTTGCGTTTAGTTGATTTAGTGGTGAAGAGAAGCTATCACATTAATTATAGCAGATATGAACTGTACCATATCATGCATTGTTCTAAGTAATTCACACATATTAAGTATTTATTTCTAAGTATGAGGAGAGTAGTAACATTTTTGTTATTTTATAAGAAACTGAGGCATGATGTCTAAGTAACCCCAGATTAGCAAACTAGAAAAAGATAGAGGTAGGATTCAGATCCAGGTAGGTAAACTCCACAGCTCTTGTTCTAACTTTCTGCTCTCTGCTTTCTCAAGTAGTAACAAAATGTGTAATATATTGGATCTGATTTCAGCTTTCTCAAAAATTGGATGTTTCGTTTGACCTGTTTCTTTTTACAACTTCAATTGTAAAAAGAATTTTTTTATGAACTTAAAACTCCAGTAAGAATTTAACATTAAAAACTCATTGTAAAAGGTAGAAATAAATGGTCAAGGGAAGGGAATGAGTAGATGGAGCTTGACTTTCCACAAAGTTAATGTGTTAAAGCTTGAAGTTTTGGGGTGGTTTCTGATTTTATTTATTCCTTACTTTATTTTTTGTGCTGTTACTGAGACTTGAACTCAAGTTCTCACAGTCTCCCTTAGTTTCTTCACTCAAAGCTGGTGCTCTACCACTTGAGCCATAGCTGAACTCCTAACTTTTTGGTAGTTCATTGGAGATAAGAGTCTCATAGACTTTCCTGCCTGGCTGGCTTTGATCTTTGATCCTCAGATCTCCATCTCCTGAGTATCTAGGATTATAGGCATGAGCCATTGGTGTCAGCTGTGGTTTCTGTTCTGTTGGAAGAAAGATAAATTTTCCTAACCCTTTTACAGGCTGGAATTCAACCACTGGAAGAGATCAGAAGTCAGTAACTAATGGGGTCATTGAAATGGGGGGGAGGTTGTAATTTTTTTCCTGCCTGTGCATTTAGTGAATGCTTATTAGCCGGGATAAGATTATCTTTACTTTTTACAAGATAGTCTTGGAGAAAGTCTTCTGGTTCTTGACCCAAGACCACATATGCATGAATTGTTCCAGTCAACTTTGATTACAAGATGGGCTTTGCTAATGAATTTTCATGTAGAGTCTAGAGGACTTTTTCTTTCCCTTCCTCAACACTATGGTCCATTCTAGTTAGGCTGATTTCCCCACCAGGAATGATGCTGTTCTGTTTTTTATGTGTTACCTTCCTGCCTATGATCTACTGCTTTTGACTCAGCTCTCTCTTTTTCACAAGGTCCTTCCTGACTGTTCCTGCTCATTTCTTCTTCACACTCTTCCAAGGGGAATCTTTTGTCTGTCCATTTATTTTAAACACATACCTATATCTAATTTGCATTATTATTATTATTATTGTTATTATTATTATTATTATTATGATGTGTGTGTGTTTGTGTGTAACTTTACTGGGGTTTGAGCTCAAGGTTTGGGTGCTGTCCCTTAACATCTTTGCTCAAGGCTAAGCCACAGCACTATTTCTGACTTTTTGCCGGTTAATTTGGAATAAGAGTCTTACAGACTTTCCTTCTTAGTCTGGCTTCGAACTATGATCCTAAGATCTTAGCCTCCTGAGTAACTAGGATTACAGGTATGAGCCACTTATGCCTGGCTCTGTTTTACATTATTGATATGTATGTCTTATTATGTCTTTTTTTCCTCTAAGTGGGCTATTGGAGGAAAAAGTATTTCTTACATTTGGTCTAGAACTGAGTTATTTCTTTGAAGGTCTCTTTAGATTTTTATTGTATAGGATCTTCAAGTTTCTCTCAAATGAACATTCTTCTGGTTTTCTTTGGTGACTTTTGCATTCTACAATAAATATGGCAAATGTTAGGCTAAGATGTAATAACGAGATGTACTGAATGAATCACGTAGAGTTAAAATGTGTTCTTTAAACTGTAGAAAGTCTTTCTTCATAGAACTAGTTATTGATTCAAGAGCCCAATATACATTTAATTTTACTGATTATTTGGAAGAGAAATGCTCTTTTATTTTTTTCTTTGTGAAATTCCTTTGTCTTCCTTCCTTTTCTCCTTACCCATTGCCCCTTAGTCTGTTCTGTGACCCTTATTGATTTTTAACTGTCTTTCACAGAATTCTACCAAAGCACCTCTCAAAAGATCAAATGTTGAGAAAGTAACTAATGTGCAAATCCTGGTTTTGTTTGGCATCCTCTTGGTCATGGCCTTGGTGAGCTCTGTGGGAGCCCTGTACTGGAATGGGTCTCATGATGGCAAGAACTGGTATATCCAGAAGATGGGTAAGTGTTGGGGTGGGTTGTTGCTTGTTGCAGTAGGACAAAGCTACCCATAAAAGATCAGTCTACATATGATATGTGATTGGTGACTGTGACATTTTTATACTTCCCTTTTGTAATGCTGTATAAAACGCCAAGTTTTCAAGAAATGACAGGCGAGAAATCACGAGATGAAGGGAAAATGAACACATTTGAGGAGTACTTTTTGCTTGAATGATGGTTTTTTAGATATTTTCTTTAGTTTTATTGGTGTGTGTATGGTTACTTTAGGGATTATAACATGAGAATTCTACTTTGAGTAAACCCTAACTTAATTCTAGTAAAGGACAAACACATGACTCCAGTAAACTTGCATTTCCTCTTTTGCTTGTGCTATTATTGTCATACATAGCACATCTATATTATCATCCCAACAGTACAGGGCTATAATTATTGACTTTTATAACCAATAAAAAAGAGCTGGGATGTAGCTCAGTGGCAAAGTGCTTTCTTAGCAAGTGCAACGTCTTGGGTTTGATCTCCAGTACTAAAAGAAAAAAGACAAAAAAGAAGCAAAAGGAAAAAAGTGTTTATGGGGTCATTTTGTTATTAATCTGTTTGTTTGCCATTCATTTGTCCCATGTGAATGATTTACCAGCTGGTATTGCTTTGCTTCAAATATCTTCATTGTCTCCTCACTCTTTTGTGTGTATTTATTTTATATATAAATATTAATACAAAGTACCTGTATATATATATATCTGTATAGTGAACTCCAAAATGCATCTTTTGGTGCCAGTCAGGGGATTTGAGCTCCAGGCTGTTCCTGAGCTTGTTTGCTTAAGACAAATGCTCTACTGCTTGAACCACAACTCCACTTCTGCCTTTTTTGCTTGTTAATTGGGTCTGGGTTCTTATAATTTGGATTTGGATCTGGAGCATGCTTTACAGGTGAAGACTGATAGCATGGTTCATGTATTATTTATTCTGCAGCATCATAGTTGGGGTAAGCAGACAGCACCAATACCATTTTGGTATAACAGGCTTTGTGGGAATGAACACTTGAATTTCACCATCCCCCCAGCTGCCAGGACATTGTTGGATCATTGACTTCAATTCCCATCAGATTCTGTTCTTTCTCATCTCTTTTTGGTTATTTTTGTTTGGCCAAATTGTTGTGTGTTTTGAATTCAGGGCCTTGCCCTTTTGCTACACATTTTTGCTCATGACTGGTGCTCTACCATTTAAGCTATACCTTCAGTTTGGCCTTTTGCTGATTAATTGGAGATAAGAGTCTCAGAATTTTCTGCCCAAGCTGACATTAAACTGAGATCCTTAGATCTTAGCTTCATGAGAAGCTAGGGTTACTGGTATGAGCCATCCATGTGGCTGAATGTTTTTTTTATTCAGGAGTGGAGATTCTTTTATAGACCTCTCTCCAGATTCTTGGCTTTGGGTCATTCTAGGTTTCTTGCACTTTGGGTTTTAGGTTTTTACCTCAGTTGTCCTTTACTCTTTGACACTGTATGTAGTGGCATGATGCATTGGGGCTGGAGTGCAAAATCAGACAATTGAAACTTATTACTATGTAATTTTATTGTCAGACTGATATTTATGTCTAAATAAATGTATTCACAATGGTTGGGATTTAGAGCTCCTATCTGATAACTACTTAATTCTGTAGAAGAACCAGATAGCAAAGTAATATGTCAGAGAAAAAGGGAACCAGCTGGACAAGTGGAAATCTTGATAAGTGGAAAATGAAATGAGAGTTGGAGGCAGGAGGATTGAGAGTTTGAGACTAGTCAGGGCAAAAGCAAGACTTTATCTCCAAAACAAAACATAGAACATAAGAGCTCATGGCTCTAGTGGTAGATCACTTGCTACCATGCACAAGGTGCTGTGTTCAACCCCAAGTAAATGATACACATACCCCTCCCCTCCCCTGCCTCAAAATGAAAGGATGTTGGGAATGCTGGCTGATGTGTATCTGATCACCTTACTCTTTCCTGGCACCTTATTTGTTCATCACAACCACTCTCCAGAGCTCTAAGTGATTCAAACCATTACTATTTGACTTACTTTCCTGATGTGGTTTGAAGCCATTACAAATTCCTAATCTCCATTCCCGGACTTCTGTTTTCTCCCTAAATATTGTCCTGTCTTGATTCCCACAATGTCAAATGAACACTCCTGTAGAAACTGTATCCCACTGTATGGCCACAAGGAAGGGCAAATTGTGTCTGCTTCCTCTTCTTGCCTCTAACCTCCAGGGAACAGTCAGCTCTGTCTTCAGGGCTGTGTCTGAATAGTCTTTGTACTATTGCAGTCTGATACATAGCAGGTGCATACTATTTGTATCTCTAAACAAGCCAATGATAGGCTTATGCTGTGAATTTTTATTTATTTATTTATTTATTTAGTGTCAGTACTGAGTCTTGAATTCAGAGCCTCCTGCTCTTACTTTGCTTTTTCTACTCAAGACTGGCACTCTGCCACTTGGGTCACAGCTCTATATTTGGCTTTTTGGTGGTTAGAGATAATAGTCTCACTTCTAGCTTCCAACTGTCATTCTCAGATCTCAGCTTCCTGAGTATCTAGGATTACAGGTGTGAGCCACTGGCACATGGCTCTGTTGTGAACCTCCTTTAGATTAAAAAAATCCTGAATAACCAAGTGAAAAGAAACTAAATGGAGATACCATTTAAGCCTATATGGAGCTCTTGTTTCCTTGCACAGACACAAGCTCGGATAATTTTGGCTACAATCTGTTGACGTTCATCATCTTATACAACAATCTCATTCCCATCAGTCTGCTGGTGACTCTTGAGGTTGTGAAATACACTCAAGCCCTCTTTATAAACTGGGTAAGTTTTTGTTTTCTTTTGTGCTTGTCTGGGTCTTGAACTCAGAACCAAGACCCTGTTCCTGAGCCTTCTTACTCAAGGTTAGCATTCTACCACTTGAGCCACAGATCCACTTCTGGCTTTTTGGTGGTTAATTGGAGATAAGAGTCTCATGGACCTTCCTGACTGAGTTAGCTTTAAACTGTGATTCTCAGATCTTAGCATCCCGAGTAACTAGAATGAGAGGTGGGAATTATAGGCATGAGGAATGGGTGCCTTTCCATGCTTTGGCTACCTTTAAAGTCTCGTTAGTGCTAAGGAAAAGACCTCTTAGCTGTGCTCCTGTGAATTTTATTGAACTACAAAATTCACTGTGACAGTAAACTTGCAGTTAGTTTTATGAGTGAAGGTATGGGTTTTAAGGGACTGCCATGGTCATTGAGTCTGCATATTAGCAATCAGTATTTGCAGACCAGATCTCTTTTTTTCTTTTTCTTGTCCTGGTCCTAGGCCTTGAACTCAGGGCATGGGCTCTGTTGCTCAGCTTTTTTTTCCTTTAGGTTAGTATTCTACCACTTAGATCCTAGCTATAATTCTGGCTGTTGTTTGGTAGTTTATCGGAAATAAGAGTTTCATGGACTTTCCAGCCCAGGCTGGCTTTGAACCATGATACTCATATCCCAGACTAGGATTATAGTAACTAGGATTATAGGCCTGAGCAATGGGCGCCCAGCCAGACCAAGCCTTTTATATACATCTGATTGTGATCATCACAACACTCCTGTGGATGAGGTAACTGAGCCCAGGCTAATGAATTAGTCTGGGTCATAAAATTATTATCTTATATAAAATGATCTGAATAGAAAGCATCATGTTTCCCCTTCTTGTTTACAAGCTGTATTTTTAACCCAATAGTAACTGTATTTTTCACCCCCAAATTAAAAATTAACATTTTTATTAAAATGAAAGGGCTTTAATGTACTTGTCTTTAGCTTCTGTGTTAAATTGAATGAAATATTAATGGTATATAATTTCTAAAGAGCTCTCTCTCCTGTCTTTTTCTCTGTCTCTCTTTTTCTCTCTCAGGACACAGATATGTATTACATAGGAAATGATACTCCTGCAATGGCAAGGACGTCAAACCTTAATGAAGAGCTTGGGCAGGTGAGAACCTCTTTGGGAACTTCAGTAACAGAGACCTGAGCAGGAGGGAAGATGAATGATAGCAGAACCATGGAGAGATTTTACAAGAATAGTTATGAATGAATGTGATGATGCCATCTAAAGACCTGTATATATTATTTGAAAGTATGAATAAATGCAAGTGCGAATTTAGACTTGGTTTTGGAAACCTGGCTGCTATCTGGACATTACCTGCATAAAGCATAGCATAGAACAATATAAGAATATGGGACCCATTTAAAGTATTTTTCAGAAGCAATAGACAGAGCAAGTAATGAATAAGATTCTCAGATATTTGAGTAACTCCACAAAGTAAAAACGTGGAAGTTATTTGAGGGATATGTATTCCTTTCATAGCCCTGATTATGCACTCTCTCTCTCTCTCTCTCTCTCTCTCTGGATGTGTGTGTGTGTATGTGTGTGTGTGTGTGTGTGTGTATGTTGGTACTGAGGCTTGAACTCAGGGCCTAGATCCGCCATTAGCTTTTTTTATTTTAACCACTAGAACCACTTGAAACTGTTGGGTGGTTAATTGGAGATGAGTCTCAATGACTTTACTGTCCAGGCTGGCTTCAAACTGGGATCCTCAGATCTCAGCCTCCTGTGTAGGTAGGATTATGGCCTTGAGCTATCAGTGTGAGGCAACATTTTTTTTGGAATATTTCAAACTCTTCTTCTCCTCCTCAATCCCTTCATCTTCACCTGAATTGTATTTTTTACTGAAATTGGTATGAAGAATTATTTTTATTTATTTATTTTTGCTGGTCCTGGGCTTACTTCCCCCTCCACTTCCTCAGCAACCCTCTGTGAAGAGGCATGTGAGAGTGCTCATTCATCTGAGAGCTAGAAGAAGTATCATATAGATACTTCTTTTTTTTCTTTCCTTTCCTCCCTCCGTCCTTCCTTCCCCCTTCCTTTCTTCCTTCCTTCCTTTCTTCCTTCCTTCCTTCCTTTCTTCCTTCCTTCCTTCCTTTCTTCCTTCCTTCCTTCCTTCCTTTCTTCCTTCCTTCCTTCCTTCTTTCCTTTCTTGCTTTCTTGCTTGCTTGCTTTTTCTCTATTTCTTTCTCTCTTTCTCTCTCTCCTTTTCCCCTCCCTCCCTCCCTCCCTCCCTCTCTCCCTCCCTTCCTTCCTTCCTTCCTTCCTTCATTCCTTCCTTCTGTGTTGGTCCTGGGTCTTGAACTCAGAGCCTGGCTGCTGTCCCAGAGTAAGTTTTTCCTCAAGACTAGCATTCTAACAGCTAAGCCACAGCTTTACTTCTAACCCTTTGGTGGTTAATTATAGATAAGAGTCTCACAGATTTTCCTGTCCAGGCTGGCTTCAAACAGCCATTCTCATATCTCAGCTTCCTGAGTAGCTAAGATTACAGGCATGAGCCACTGTGCTCAGTACCTTGGCACATTTCTATACAATTTTTATATAGGGTTAGTTATAGAAAAAGATTTATGAATTGTCTAAACATTAAGTTTTTGGGGTATTCATTTGTTTAGAGGACATCTTTACAGGACTCTAGACATTCATACAGTGAGATCAAAGGAGGATATTCTTAGAAGAGTATCACAAAGGATCAATAGCTATGTGCATATGATCATATAAAATTATATTTATCAAAATGAACTCTAAGAAATGGAAACAAGAGTTGTTTTTCCTTTGTTTCTATTTTTTGTTTTCTGTCCCTTTTGTCTTGTTTGTAAGCATAGCTGTTTTGGGGAAGATAAGGGGGAGCACAAAAATGGTAGGACCAAAGGTGAACAAATGCAGCAGAGAGACTCACTAGACACCATATTGAAAATGAACTAACTTGTGGGAGGGGAGAAGAGGGGAAAAACTGGGAGAAAGTGAGGGAAGGGGTGATACTGTTCAAAAAGGAATGTGCTCATTACCTGATTATATAACTGTAACACCTTTGTAAATGTTCTTTTCAATAAATAAATATTTTCTTCAAAGAAATAAAAATTGTGGATGACTTCATTTATTGATCTTTTCATCTTATTATCTTCTTGATGTGCATTTCTTTAAAATTTAGGTAAAATATCTGTTTTCTGACAAGACTGGAACTCTGACATGCAACATCATGAACTTCAAGAAATGCAGCATTGCTGGGGTAACCTATGGGTGAGTGTTTATTCCTGGAAAGCTCACTTGTATGCTTCCAACAGAATTAATTTATTTTCAGCTAGTTGGTCAAGTATCTTGACTTTTTGGTATTTAGAAGAAATTTAGATAGGTAGTTGCTATTAAATGTGTTTAAGACTGAATGGGTCTAAAATGAACAGTTAAAATATGAATTTTAAGGGGCTGGGAAGGTGGCTCAGTGGTAGAGCGCTTGTCTTGCATGCATGAGGCCCTGGGTTCGATTCCTCAGCACCACATAAGCAAAAAGAAAAAAGCTGGAAGTGGCGCTGTGGCTCAAGTGGTAGAGCGCTAGTCTTGAGCTGAAGAGCTGAGGGACAGCGCCCAGACCCAGAATTCAGGCCCCACGACCGGAACCAAAAAAAAAATATGAATTTTAACAGTTAAAATATAAATGATTTCTGTAAGTGTGAACTTAGTAGGAAGTCCCAGGGATGTAGGTCTATGTATTAAATCTAATCCTTCGCAGTTTCTTTCCCATGTTTTTATCTGGATGTTTGTGCTTTGATCAAAGTGTTGTGACCTTTGTTTTCCTTCTCTGGCAGTCACTTCCCAGAACTGACACGAGAGCCATCCTCAGATGATTTTTCGTAAGTAGATTCTAGTATACTTTGATGCTTTAGTGACACAGGCTCCAGAATTTTTTTTTTTTTTTTTTAGGCTCCAGAATTTTATATTAGCACTTCCCACCTGAATATTTATATATGTAAATGTAAGTTATATAAGTAATTTTGAAACTGAACCAAAGTAAGATTTTTTATTGTCATGAAGTACTTGTACAAAGGGGTTTCAATTCGACATGTCAGTTTTTGAGTACAGTGCATCTTGATCACTGTCACCCCTTCCATTATTCTCCCCAAATCTATTTCAACCCTGCCTATTCCCAGGATCTTGGCTTTTTACTCAGGCACTCTAACATTTGAGCCTTACTCCCAACCCTTTTTTCTCTAGTTACTTTTTTCAGGTAGGGTCTCACAACTTTTGCATAGGTTGGCCTGGAATTGTTCTTCATACTTATACTTCCTTTGTAGCTAGTATAAAAGGCATGTGCCACTATACCCAGATTTTTCATTGAGAGGGAATCTCTCTAATTTTTTAGTCTTTTTCAACTCTTCTGATCTCTGCCTCCTAAGTAGCTAGAATAATAAGCATGAGCCACTGTATCCCGCCCCACACTTCAAAGACTTAACAGGTGCTGCATATTCTGTGAGTGTGGACACGTGGAGTAGAATACCTATTTATCACTGAAGTATTATATAGTCCTTTCTATTCTGTCTAGTCAACTCCCAGAACCCCAACTTCTTGGAAACTTGATTTTTTTATTGTCTCTATAGTTAGCCTTTACAAGAATGTTGTAGCTAGAATCCTACAGCATGTAGGATTTTACTTTTATTTAGTAGTATGCTAGTCGTGTACATTTACGATTCCTGCCCTGCCTGGGCTGGCTTTAAACCTTCATCCTCAGATCCCAGCCTCTTGTGCAGGTGAGATTACAGGTTTAAGCCACCATTCTTGGCAACATGGTTCTTCTTGAACATAGATTCTTACTAGGTTTGAGTTACCTTTACAGGAACTTTGTTTCTTTATTTCTTTTTTTTTTTTTTTTTCTTTTTTTTTGGGTCTGGTCGTGGGGCCTGAACTCTGGGCCTGGGCACTGTCCCTCAGCTCTTCAGCTCAAGGCTAGCACTCTACCACTTGAGCCATAGCACCACTTCCAGCTTTTTTCTTTTTGCTTATGTGGTGCTGAGGAATCAAACCCAGGGTCTCAGGCATGCAAGGCAAGCACTCTACCACTGAGCCAACTTCCCAGCCCCAACTTTGTTTCTTTAAATTGTTTAGTTCATTTTCAACATGGTGTCTAGTAAGTATCACTGTTTCATTCCTTCATTGTTTGTCCCATGACTTCTTGTTCCTCCCTACCCTCCCCCAAACAGATAAACTTACATACAAGACAAAAGGTAAAGAAAACAAAAAAGGACAAAGGAGACAAAGGGACAAAGGAGAAAAAAACAAGAAAAAACCCCAAAACAACAAAAATCTTTTGTTTCTGTTTCAATAAATATCATTTAAAATGATCATATGCACATAGCTTTTGAGCCTTTGTGATCCTCTACTAAGAGTGCCCTCTTTTGGTCTCACTGTGTGAATGTCCAGAGTCTTGTATATTTTATCATGTATAAGTATATTTTTTTGTCTTTTACTAGCCAGTTTATTTACTTATAGGTTTATAAGCATATTCTAGTTAGCACAAACAAAGGAAGCTATGCATCCTATGTAACCTATGGCTTATGGGAACTTTTGAATAGAATGATTAGCTTTTCTTTTCTCTTACAGTCGAATGCCTCCACCCCCTAGTGATTCCTGTGACTTTGATGATCCTAGGCTGTTGAAGAACATTGAAGATCAACATGTGAGTCTACTCTTTTACTTCCAGGATGTTGATGCAATAGTTTGTGGTGTCCCCATTATTTATACAGTGCTTATGTAGTCTGTTGAATGTTGTAGCATGAGAGCCTGGGAAGAGATGTTGGTTCAGTTTGATGACGTCAGTACTTGAGGAACATGATCTTAAGCAAATGCTTTATGGTGGACACTGGACATTAATTAATTAATGTAAGACTGGATTTAAATATGTGATGAAGGTATACAACAGCACTCTTAAAATCAAGTCTTACCACAGATTTCTTTAGGAGTTCAGATTTCTGTTGCTTTGTAAACTGAATCACCCTACTATTTCTTTACAGTTATGAGTTTAGGAGGTCATGTCTTGAAAAGTAATTACATAACCTTTGCCCCTACCCCCCCATCGTCCCCTCCACCCCATCACCCCCTGTACTGGAGCTTGGATTCAAGGCTTCAAGCTTACTCACCTTGCTTGTTTAGCTTCCACTATACCACCTGAATCACACTTTCAGCCCAGCTTGTTGCCTGTTATTCTGGAGATAGAGTCTTTCAGACTTGTGCCCACACTGGCTTCAAACTGTGATCTTTAGATCTCAGTCTCCTGAGTAACTAGGTTTACAGGTGTGCACTACACTGCTGACTAGGAAACCTTAAGAAAGAAATTTAAAATATAACAAGTAGCATTTGGTATATCCTATAGAAAAACTGGACAAGAGTTACACAGCAGATACATGTACGTTTGTTATCCATCCATAAGTTTTTATGGGTAAGTTTTTATAGCTACCCATCCATCTACTATTTATGTAAGTCGTAGGGTTTTATTATGCAGCCCAGACTGGCCCTGAAATCTGGGCTCAATGATCCTTCTACCTTGGACTCCTTAATAGCTAGAACCATAGGCAGGTACCATGCCCAGTCATGTGTGTGTGTGTGTATGTGTGTGTGTGTGTGTGTGTGTGTGTATGCGTGCCAGTACTGGTGCTTGAACTCAGGGCCTGGGCTCTCCCTCAGATTTCTTGCTCACTGTTTGTACTCTACCACTTGAGCCTCATCTGCAGTCTGGCATTTTGCCAGTTAATTAGAGATGAGTCTCATAGATTTTTCTACCCAGGCTGGCTTTTATGATGATCATACAGGTCTTAGTCTCCTGAGGAGTTAGAATTACAGGCATTAGACTTGGAAGTCATTTTGTGGTGTTAGGAGAGGAGTCCCTTCCTTTTTCAGGAGTATGATGGTTGCTGAGACTGCTGAGATATGGGCATTGTAGCCACCCACCCACACTGAATGGTATTTGCACCAAACAGATGTAGAGTGGCAAAGACATCACAGGCTAGAAGTAAGTCCTTATCAGGGAAGGAGATCCTCTGGTGGCCCACTGTGTGGCTGGAGTGGGCGAAGTAGACTTTTAATGGGTCTCACTACTCTTCCTGTGTTTGTTCTCAGCAATACTAGAGTGTGCCTTCTTTTCTGCCTTGAACTACCATTTCTTCCTGACTTTCTCTTCCATGTCCATGCCCACCTCCTTCTTTTCTTCCAAATCTTTTCCTTCTCTGTTATCAGTTTTCTGTTACTATAACAAATATCTGAGAGAAATCAACTTAACAAGAGCAAATGCTTATTTTGGTTCACAGTTTTGGAGATTTTAGTCCATGACTGATTGGCTTTGATACTTTGGGCCTATGGTAGCAAATCATAGTAGGAGTCATGGCAAAAGAGACCTGCTGTTCTGTATGGCTAAGAATAAGCAATAGGAAGTGGACATGGCTAGGGTCCAAATATCCCCTTCAAAGGTAACAGCCCCAATGACCTAACTTCCTTTCCATTAGTTTCTACTACCTTCAATAGGACCAGCTTAAGGACCATTCTTTCAGCACACGAGCCTTTGGAGTACATTCTAGATCCAAACTATATTCTCTTGAGCTAAATTTTCTCTTAATGGAAAGGCCAGACAGGGGCAGCTCTTGTCTTCTTGACATGGAGATATTTTTATGAGTATTGAACCACCGGGACTTGTTGGGGTATTTAAATAATCTGTATACTCACAGTTCAGTAAAAGTACAACAACATCATTGATTTGGGAATTTATTTTCTATTTTTTAGCCAAAGCTTACTTGCCTAGGTATAATATTTTTATGCTTTTTGGATCTGTAAAGCCTTCTGAGACCTTCTACATCCATGCTACTGCATTAATGAAGCCCTTTCACATTTAACGTTTTCCTTCACTATAAATAAGGAAGAATATAGCTCAGTATTTTTCTTTTGGAAGACTTGGTGTTGGATTTAATTTACACAATGGATGTTTTCAGCAGTTTTAAACACAGGGCCTATTAGACCACTTGCTCATTTTTTTGGGCCAAAATATAGGTGGGGAGACAGAAGAACCATTTGAGGATATTCAGTTATGCATGTCCCACATTTCATCCTGATTGTCTTGGATCATAGAGGAAAATTAAAGCATTTGACCTGAGAAAACCCTTACTCTCTTCCCAAGGGAAGATTTCCACGTACTGCAGGATTTCCCTTTTTCTTCCTAGGTTATCACTTCTGCCTTTCTGGGTCCTGTTGTAAATCTTGTTTGGGCGGATTGCCAGGATAAGATTTGGCTTTTAGTCAGAAAATCACCTATAGAAGATTTCAAAGGACAATTATTGCAGTTGATTGATTGCATTACTCACCAGAGACTCAGGTTTGTGTGATACATTCACACAGGACCTGGGTGCTGCTCCTGAGCTTTTGTGCTCAAGGCAGAGACACAGTGAAACTCTCTTCAGAGTCATTATGCCACAGACTCGTGAGTTTGAACCTTTAAGAAATTTTTTTTCAGTACTAGATATTGAACTCAAGAGTCTGTAGTTACTGAGTAGGTGCTATATCACTTGAGCCATTCCCCTAGTCCTTTTTTAGGTTGGTTATTTTTGAGATAAGGTCTCATTTTTTTTGGTGCCAGGGCCTGAACACTGTCCCTGAGCTATTTTCCTCCAGACTAGTGCTCTATCACTTCAGCAACACTTCCATTTCTGGCTTTTTGGTGGTTAGTTGGAGACAAGCATCTCACAGATTTTTCCGGCCCAGTCTGGCTTGGACTTATCCTTGTGAGTAGCTACATTTATAGGCATGAGCCACCAACACTCAGCATTAGGGTTTCATTTTATGTCTGGACTATAGTCCTTCTACTTGTGCTTTCTCCTGCTGCTGGGATGACAGATGCAGATGCTCTCAACCATTGGTTCTCCAGTGAAATCCCTCTGCTCCCAAGGCTGGCTTCCAGCTGCAATTCCCTTATCTTTGCCTCCCAAGTAGCTAGAATTACAGGCTTGAGGCTAGGAAAATTCTTTTTTAATCTATACATTACTAAAATACGTTGTGGCTGCAATTTGTTATACAAAACAATTTCAGAAATGTAGAAGATTTTTTTTTAAGTTACAAATAGAAAACATTCATTTCTAGGCATTTAGCATTTTGTGTCTATTTAAAAGTTAGTGACTAATTGGTAAATACTGTATGATTTCATTGATATGGAATATACAGAAATGGTAAATTCATAGAAACAAGAGGAGAGGCTACTAGGATTCTAGGGAAGCAGAAGATGAAGATGGGAGTTATGTTTTAATGGGTACAGAGTTTCTGTAAGGGATGATTTAAAAGTTTTGGGTATGGGTTGTGGTGATAGGTTCAGCATTTTGACTATATTTAATGCCACTGAATTGTACACTTAAGAATTGTGAAAATGATAAGCATTACATGTACTGATGAGCATGTTATGAATGAACATACATAATAAAATGTGAACAATGAAAAACCCAGAACTTCTAAGGTATAGATACATATACGTACATGCATAGTTCTTGAATTAAAGCAAAAAGAAAGGGAGGGTGACGGAGGTAGGGAAAGGAAGAAGGATATAGGGAGAGAGAAAGGGAAAGGAAGGAAGGAAGGAAGAAAGGAGAGAGATAGGGAGAGAGACAGAGGGAGAAAAGGAGGGAAGATGAAGGAAGATAGGAAGACAATATTTATAAGGAAACAGAGGTGAGACAAGGAAACAACTTCACTGGCTACAAATTAGTTAGCCAACCAGCTTGTTATAGCTTAATTACTTATGGCCACAGCCTAATTAGTTAATTGGCATTTGGTTTCTTGCAGCCTCAATTATGAGATTAAGCTCCTAACATTTCTGAGGTTTCTGCTGATGATAGTCTGTGTAGGTGCCTAAACCAAGTCTACAGTCCCAAACTTTATTGAACATAGTGGATCACAGACGGTGACTCACTCAAGTTTTTGGAGCAAATGAAAATTAAGATATATCACCAGGAACCAATGGCTCACACTTGTAATTCCAGCTACTTATGAAGCTGAGATCTGAGGATTGTAATTCAAAGCCAGCCCAGGTAGGAAAGTTCGTGAGACTCTCATCTCCAGTTAACCACCAAAAATAAGCTGGTAGTGAAGCTGTGGTTCAAGGGGTAAGAGTGCCAGCCTTGAGAAAAAAAAAGCTCAAGGACAGTTCCCAGGCTTTGAATTCAAGCCCAGGGATTGGTGCACACACACACGCACATGCACATGCACACACACACACACACACACACACACAGAAGTAGAGCTGTGGCTCAAGCAGTGGAGTGTTAGCCTTGAGCAAAAAACCTCAGGGACACTGCCCAGGCCGAGTTTAAGCCCCAGTTCTCACAAATACACACATATACACATTTGCATACCCCTCTCCCCGAGACACACAAAAGATATAGGTCCTGTGTCAATAAAATTTAAAAACCTTTAATAATTGGGATGGCATGATGTATTCTTAGATTCTGCTTAAAATTTCAGGAATTTTTGCTTTTTAAGAAGAATAGAATGGTGCCAGTAGCTCATGCCTATAATCTTTAGCCAGGAGGCTGAAATCTGAGGGTTGCAGTTTGAAGCCAGCCAAGACAGCAAAATCCACAAGACTCTTATTTCCAATTGACTAGCAAAAAGCCAAAAGTGTATCTGTAGTACAAGTAGTAGAATGCCAGCCTCTAATGAGAAAGCTAAGGGAAAGCACCCAGGCCTTGGTTCAAGCCTCACTACTCTCTCTCTCCTCTCTCTCTCTCCTCTTTCTCTCACACACAATATCTATCTATCTATCTATCTATCTATCTGTCTGTCTGTCTGTCTGTCTGTCTGGAGAAAGTGATTAAATATATATCTAGGACACTTTTGATTATTATTTTTTATATGTAGAGTGCTGGATGTCCTGCATTTCAGGTGTTTATTATACAGGCAAAAGTGAGACATGTTGTAGAATATAAGCCAGCACAGGATGATAAAAATATATTTTGGAATGTCTTCTTTTTAAGATGCCCTGAGGTTACATCTGTGAGGAAAGCAGGTAACCTTTTTAACCACCAGGATCTTGCTGGTGAGATGCAGGAGCATGGGGATTGTGAGATGGGATCAGGACTGGGAGCTATGGAAGTTTCAAGAAGGCAGGAGATTGTGCTTGGCTGTTTCCTGATTTGCCATGCCGAGTCGCAGAATATGGGCTTCTCAGGGAAAGTGACTGAAGCCCAAGGGCCAAGTGAACTGGACAGCCTGTTGTAGCAGATGGGAGGCCATGGTGAAGAGATGGGGAAAAGACATGCCTTGTTTGAAGTCCACAGTGGCAGGAGGTGGGCTAGGTGAGAAGCTGGTGTCAGGTTTTGGGCACCTGATGTAAGATCTGGACCCTGTGTGATAGGGAGTTGGGGACCATTCTTGGATTTTTTTCTACTCCTGATCCTTGAATTCAGGGCCGGGACACTGTCTCTGAGCATTATTTGCTCAAGGCTAGCCACAGCTATACTTCCAGCTTTTGGTGGTTACTTTTAGCTAAGAGTCTCATGGACTTTCCTGCTTCAGCTGGCTTCAAACTGTGATCCTCAGATCTCAGCCTCCTGAGCAGCTAGAATTACAAGGGTGAGCCACTAGCACCTGGCCCATTCCTGGATTTTTTTTTTGTCAGTTGTGGGGCCTGAACTCTGGGCCTGGGCATTGTCCCTCAGCTTTTCAGCTCAAGGTTAGCACTCTACTGCTTGAGCCATAGTGTCACTTCCAGCTTTTCCTGTTTATGTGCTACTGAGGAATCAAACCCAGGGTCTCATGCATGCAAGGAAAACATTCTACCACTGAGTCACCTTCCCACTCCCCCATTCCTGGATTTTAAGGAGGGGACAACTTGAGTCCAGCTCTGATGTGTGTCAAGCAGCATTGTAACTGTCATACTAACTCAGTCTTCTGTTTTACAGCCCACAGCCCCTTGCATTCAGGAGTTCCTCACCTTGCTGGCTGTGTGCCACACTGTGGTTCCTGAGAAGGATGGAGACGATATCATCTACCAGGCCTCTTCTCCAGGTGAGGCTCCCAGTGGCTCTGCCCTGCTAGCCTTTTCCCTGGAGACTTGGGTATTTGAGTTACATGTGGAAAAAGAGGTATAGTCACTTTCCCCCTCTACTTGCTCCTCCCCCCATATTTGCCTCTTGTTTCACACCATCTCCATATCATGGTTACAAAAGTTCAAACCCAAGATAGCGTGCATTGAGCTCTCCTGATTCTAATGGCTAGTTATTTATTCATTCATTTTTTTTTTTTTGGTGCCAGTCTTGGATCCTAAACTCAGGACCTGGGTACTGTTCCTAAGCTTTTGTACCACTTGAGCTACAGCTCCACTTCCCACATTTTACTTGGTAATTAGCTGGAGATAGAAGTCTCACAGATTTTCCTGCCTTTGAACTGAGATCCTCAGGTCTCAGCCTCCCCAGTAGCTAAGATTATAGGTGTGAGCCACCAGTGCCCAGATCATGGCTCCTTGATAGTGGGGGAAGTCTCAGATCACCTTGACTTTCCTAGAAGTTATTGGGCTAGACAGAGCTTTCAGGAGAGATCATAGCCAGCTCCTTTTCTCATCTGCTGCATGTCATGGATAAGCTGTGTTACTCTTTGCCACCTCCTGGGACTCTGATCATATAATATGGAGTCAAATCATGGCCTTGATCAGAGATGTTTAGTCTATAGGAATTTTTACTTACATTGTTTAGAGAGAACTTGATCCTAACCAAGAATAGCAGGTGTTTGAGAGGAATGGGGGGAGAAAGATGGAGGGAGTGACATTGATCAAGACAAATTGTACTCATAAACTGTCATGCTAAATTAAATCCCCTTTGTACAACCACTTAAAGATAAGGCAAAAACAGTACTCTTCCCCCCCTCCCAAAGATAAAAAAGACTAGAAGGAGTGTAAATCACTCTTCTCCTAGTGAATTAGGTTAGGGTTGAGTCCTCCTATCTAGCAGAAGCCCTCATTTCAACTCTGGTGTTAGGAAGAGTGAATATACTTACCTCCTATGCCCTTTCTACTGTGTTGAGAATGTCAAGCTTCCTTAATCATGGTGTTGTTTATTTTGTGTGTATGTGTGTATGTCTTTACTGGGGCTTGAACTCAGGGCCTGAGCACTGCCCTTAGCTCTTTCCATCAAGGCTGGCACTCTATCACTTGAGCCATAACTTCACTTCTATTTATTTATTTGTTGGTGGTTAATTGAGATAAGAATTCCTTATACTCTCCTGCCTGAGCTGACTTTGAACCATGATTTTCACTCAGATCACAGCTTCCCCAGTAGCTAGGGTTACAGGTGTGAGCCACTGGTGACTATTTACATAGTGCATGTTAATATGAAAAATAACACAACAGAATTTCTATGATGGGATTTGTCTGCATTTGACCAACTTCCTATTGACAGATGAGGCTGCTTTGGTGAAAGGAGCTAAGAAGCTGGGCTTTGTCTTCACAGGCAGAACACCATATTCGGTCATCATAGAAGCGGTAAGGAACATATTTGTGCACATGCCCTACTTTTTGGAAGATTGAACACTTGAAATTGTATGTCTGTTGTAAATGGGATGGCTGAATTTCTACTTGTCTCTCAATGCCAATGACACTTGAAACTGTGGATACATCAAGGGTGCTGTGTGATTGTGTTAGCTTATTTCTGCTAGTTTGTATTTCAGTGATTTCTCCCTTCCCTCCCTCCCTCCCTCCCTCCTTTCCTTCCTTCCTTCCTTCTTTCCTACCTTCCTTCCTTCCTTCCTTCTTTTCCTGTGCTCATCCTGGCGCTTGAACTCAGGGCCTAGGTACTGTCCCTTAGCTTTATTTTTGCACAAAGCTGGTGTTCTACCAGTTGAACCACATTTCACTTCCAGCTTTTTGTTGAGTGGTTAATCGGAGACAGTAGTCTCATGGACTTTCCTGCCAGGATGGCTTTGAACTGTAATCTTAGTTTCAGCCTCTTGAGTAGCTAGGGTTACATGCATGATCCACTGGCACCTGGCTTTGTATTTTCTGCTTCTTTTTCTTTTTTTAATCTCCCTCCCCATGGGTTAAAGGAAGACATTTAATGACAGAAGAAAAGTTCACAGTTTCAGTATCTTTTCTCCAAAATTCTTGGGGCCAGGAGTATTTTGGATCTCACATTGTATTTCAGGCTTGGGAATATTTGCATATACACAATGAGGTATCTTGAGATGAGAGACCCAAGACCGAGCATGAAATTTGTCTATGCTTCATGAACACTTTATATAGCATGAGGATAAGTGTATACAGTAATTTTAGTGCTTTTTTTCATTCCGGGGCCTTACCTCAAGGCTGGGAACTGTCCTTTAGCTTTTTCACTTAAGGCTGGCACTCTCCCATCTCCACTTCCAGCTTTTTTCTGGTTAATTGGAGATAACGGTCTCATGGACTTTTCTGCCCAGGCTTGTGTGGAACCATGATCCTCAGATCTCAGCCTCTTGAGAAGCTAGGATTACAGGTGTCAGCCACCAGTGCCTACTACACTTGTGTGTGACTGTGACCAGTTACCTGAGGTCAGGTGTGGAATTATCTTCTTCTGGAATCATGTTGGTGCTAAAAGATGTTTAAGGGTGTTTTGGATTAGAAATGCTCAATATATATTAAAAATAAGATCACACAGGGCCCCATAGAATGGCCTACAGGAGATCAAGAAAATGGTGCTTAGAACTGGTGAGACACTGGTATTAATGATGACAGCTGGAAGGGTAGTGTTTTACTACACTCTGGGTTCATGAGGACATTTGGACAGTCACTTAATTCATCCTTATTCTCCACACCTCTTTAATGAACTTGAAGATCATTTTTCAGTTGGCAGTAGTCATTTGTTTTTCTTTTACCTATAAAATATCAAAGCCTATAAAATATATCTTACTTAAAATGCTATTTCTTTGGACCTTCATGTTTCCTTGTAGTATAGAAAACAGACTGTGTTTATTTTAAACTTTATTTTAATCAACCGAGGGAATTTATGCTTCAGGAAATGTGCAATCATTAAAATGGAAGAGTAGAATGAAACGCTGATTGAATATGGAATTTTCTTCTTAGTAACCTTTTTTTAAAAAAAAATGAAGTTCCTTTCAAGAGAGTTATTTATGTACTTATTTTGGTGTGAGTACTGGGGCTTAAACTCAGGGCCTGGGTACTGTCCCTGACATTTTCTGCTCAAGGCTGGCACTACTACTTGAGCCACAGATCAAGTAGTAGTTTTGCCATGGTTAATTGGAGATAAGAGTCACAGACTTTCTGGCCCAAAATTGGCTTTGAACCTCAATCCTTAGGTTTTAGCTTTCTGAGTGACTAGATAATAGGCTTGAGCCACAGGTGCCTAGCAGTTTCAGGAGAATTTTTTTTTTTTTTGATCGGTCGTGGGGTTTGAACTCTGGGCTTGGGCGCTGTCCCTCAGCTCTTCAGCTCAAGACGAGTGCTCTACTGCTTGAGCCACAGCGCCACTTCCGGTTTTTGAGTGGTTTATTGGAGATAAGAGTCTCACGGACTTTCCAGCCCAGGCTGGCTTTGAACCGCAATTCTCAGATCTCAGCCTCTTGAGTAGCTAGGATTACAGGCGTGAGCCACCAGCACCTGGCTTAGTTTCAGGAGAATTTTAACCTCCAACTGTAGAATTTTTTGTTGTATTAGTGTTGTTGCATGCAGTGTGACAATGATAGTTGCGGGAGGTTAAGCATGAATGGAAGTACAGAAGATAAGAAAGCTGCTCTACTTGGCTCAGAATGCCAGATACATGTGGGGAGCAAAGAGCTTATGGCATGAGCATATCCATGCTAAATGCCAGGTTCGCATCCTTCATTATTTTATTAAGGCTTAAAGGCCATATTTCTTGAAGTCATGCATGACTGCTTGATGAGTTAGGTCTCATAAATAATGGTTTAAGAAATCCCACTCAACCATTAATTCTGGGATACTATTAACCAATACTGGCCGCCAGTATTTACATGAAATGTCTTTGCTAATCATTGTACAGCTGAGCACATTAGCTTCGCATGGAGGTGGTTGAGGTAACCTTGGTTCAGAGACTGGGTGGCTACTGGAAGTAATCAATGGGTGCTGTCTAACAGGATTCTGACAGAGCTGAGACAGGCAGTGGAAAAGGGGGAAACTGGTGCATTCTGAGAGGTGAATAAGGATAAATGAAAGTCACATTATGTAGATCTTTGTATTTTGTGATACAAGGAGGAAGAAGTTGTGGTGAGGAGAGGATGATTTAGTTATGGATTTGGTAATTGGTATGTGGCCTCAAGGATGAGCTCTTTTTCCTTTCCCTCCTTCCCTCCCTCCCTCCCTCCCTTCCTTCTTTCCTTCCTTCCTTCCTTCCCCCCCTCTCCGTCCATCCTTCCCTCTCTCCCTTCCTTCCTTCCTCTTTCCCTTCCTTCTTTCTTCCTTTTCACCTTCTCTTCCTCCTTTCCTTCCAGAGGAAAGACTTGTTTTTCTCACGATTTCAGTCCATCATGGTGGGGAAGGTATGGTAGAGAGGCTCGTATCATGGTGTCTAGAAGAGAGAGAGAGAGAGAGAGAGAGAGAGGTTCTGTTTGCATTCATTCTCCTTCTTTGCCTTTTATTCTCTCTGGGCCCCTAGCCTATGAGATACTGCTTCCCACATTCTGGGCAAGTCTATTCTCAGGGGCCTCCTCCAAGGCCTTGGACCAAGTCACAGGTTGCCTGGCTTCCCAGGCTTTCCTTTGAAATCTTGTTGCAAATCTTCATGACTCTATAACTCTTGCATTAAGTCCAGCTCTTTTTAAATTTTTATGTTTTTTATTAGCATATATTAATAGTACAGGAGGAGTTTACTCTGATCATTTCATAAATACGTACAGTATACTTCTGTTTTTGTGCTGGTACTGGGGCTTGTACTCAAGGTTTTGTACTCTTTCTTGTCTCTCAAGTCTGGCACTTTTCCAATTGAGCCATACTTCCACTTCCAGCTTTTTGCTGATTAATGGCTATAAGGGTCTCACAGACTTTTTTTTAACCCAGGCTGGCCTTAAGCCACAATTCTCAAATCTCAGCCTCCTGAGTAGCTAGGATTACAAGTGTGATCCCCCAGCACCAGTATGTACAATATACTTTGAATAAGTTCATCCTCTCTCTTTCAGTTCTTTAACGCCCCCCCCCCCCCAAAAAAAATCTCTTGCATTTTCCATGCCTCAAAAAACAGTATCACATAAATGACACCAATATGAGCTAGCATGAACTTGACCCATTTGCACCACAGCTTCAGTGGCCTCTGAATACCTAGGTGACTAAGTGTGATGAACTGAATCCTGCAAGGTGGGGGAGGGGGGGAACTTTCCTAAGCTCTTGTTTGTGTGCAGAATGCTCTTTTTCTCTTAGGAAAGTCTTTTAAATATAAAGTCAACATCAAGATACCATTCCTTTTGTCCTGATACAAAGTACTTGACATTTTTTGGTGCCCATAATATATTCAGAAACCATACTGAATCACACTGTCAGGTAGCCAAATCAGCAATCCTAGTTCTTCAGTACTCATGTTCTGTGTTACTTATTTCTCTAAATAAATGCCTGACAGAAACAACTTAAGGGAGATGGGATATATTTTGCTTACAATATAGAGTCCCTTATGATGGGGAGGGCATAGAGGAACAGCTCTCATCATGGCAGCCGGGAAGTAAGGGTGATGAAAAACCTTAGCTCAGGATCCCAAGGTTTCTGATAGCGTTTTATAGCTTGTGTCATGTATCTTCATCACTTGTAAATGGCTATATTAGCCAACCACTAGGATAGCCATATAACTGAAGGGGGTGGGGGGGGTGGGGTGGGGAAAGGGGATATTTCTACCAGCAGAGGGAGCTCTAGACTTATGAGAAAACTATTCATTGCAAAAGCATTTGCCTTAAGGCTCCCATTGTTTTGCATGTATGCACGTGTGTGCTTATGATTGGGGCACAATTGCTTGGAGAATTGAATACTTTTCACAATAGGTAACAACTTTTTCTTTCATAGATGGGACAGGAGCAGACATTTGGAATCCTTAATGTTTTGGAATTTTCCAGGTATGTTTCTCTTTCCTGTACTTGAAGTGAAATTACATTTTATATATATAATAAATCAATATATATCAAATTATATATAGATATATATGTTGATATGTAATATCTCATTTATATTAGCATATATTTATATAACATAGATAATATATATTATATAGTCTATAAATACTCATATATATTCTACCACTTGGGCTATAGCTCCACTTCCAGCTTTTTGTTGGTTAATTGGAAGTAAGAGTCTTCTGAACTTTTCTGCTTAAGGTGGTTTCAAACCATAATCCTCAGAGTTCAGCTTCCTGAATAGCTGGGATTATAGATGTGAGCCACCAGAGCCCAGCTACTTAATAATACATTTAACAACTCTATCTGCATGTTTACATGATTGTACATTATGATTAGTAGTAAGTATTAAATATGGTAAACATATCCTACAAATCAAATTCCCTTTGGAGTCTGGGTCTCATTAAAGAGAGTGAAGTATATAATTTTTCTGTATTTTTTGAGAATAATATTGTGTTTCTATGTCTTCTTTTTAAAGTTTTTTTTTATTATTATAAAGGTAATGTACAGAAGGGTTACAGTTATGTAAGTCACGTAATGAGTACATTTCTTTTTTTTTAATTTTTTTTATTGTGAAAATACTGTACAGAGGGGTTACAATTACATGGGCAAGATAATGAGTACATTTCTTATCAAGCATTGTAGCCTCCTCCTTTGTTTCCCCTTCCCATCCCTTCCCATCCTCCGCCCCCCCCCACCCCCCAATGAGAGTATATTTCTTTTTGACGATATCACTCCCATGTTCTCTTTTTTTCCTTAAATTGTCCAGAGTGTGGTCTAGCATCAGCAGCTGCAGATGTGTGTGCTCAGTTTAGAGAAAGTGATGACAGCATTGTTTTCATTGGTGCTGCCCAGATCCCATGAGGTTATGCCTCCATCTGAGCACTGGGTCAGATCAATTTGTTTTCACCAGAGATCTGGTCCTGTATACAGGGCTATTCTCCTGTATCTAAGTGGAAATATTCCTTTCCAGTGAAGTTTCTTTCTTTAAGACGTGGGGATATTTGTTAGCTTCTTTTGTTTTTCTTAAAAATTTCTATTTATTTATTTTTATTGTAAGAATACCGTACAGAGGAGTTACGATTACGTGAGCAAAATAACAAGTATATTTCTTATCAAGCATTTTTTTGCCTCCTCTTTGTTTCTCCTTCCCATTCCTTCCCATACTCCCTCCCACCCCCACCCGATTTATTTATTTTTTTAATTCACATCTTTTTTGGTCTTTTTTTTTGTATCAGTACTGGGGCTTGATCTTCAGGATCTCAGGCTCTCACTTAGTTTTTTCTCTCCTAACTGGCACGCTACCACTTGAGCCAAATCTCCATTTCTGGCTTTTTGCTGGTTAATTGGAAATAAGACTCTCTGGGATTTGTCTACCAGGGCTCTAAACTTGTATCCTATGAATTTAGCATCATGAGCAGCTAGGATTGTAGATGTGAACCATTAGTGTCTAGCTCAAGAAAGCACATCTTTAATGTTTGTTCCTTTCTTTCTTTTGAACACTGAACTGTCAATATTAGCACAAGGTTTAGTTACTATCTCAAAGACATCTTTTGCTATTATTAAAATTAGATGAGGTTTCAGTCACCTTTGTTAAATGATCTAAAATGATCAAAAAATGATTGCCTGGCCTGTTTGATAGAGATCACTTTTTAAAATCCCCTTGTAAGAAATGCTTTCCATTTCCTAGTGGTTAGTTTTAGGATTGCAAGTTTGAATGTAACTGAGTCAGAAGCCAGCCCTTTGGCTTGACTATTCAACTAGAGAGGCAGGGTTGATGGTTAATGACAACAAGCATTCAGGTGGGGGTGGGTGGCTGTGTTCCTGTGTGTGGAGGTCTCAGACATATTAGACATGTTTCCATATTTTTTGTGTCCCTGAAAACTTCCTTGTTGGGAAACTGTGCTGCTTTATGGCTCCATTAATGAATTAGCAGTTAATGTCCAGAAAAGGAAAAGGTGGAAAGGTAGTTTAGATGTAATCAGGTGACTCTTGGTGGATACATGAGGATTTTTTTTTGGGGGGTGCTAATATCTGGACTTGAACTCAGGGCCTTGCTCATGGCTCTCACTCTACCACTTGAGCCATGCCTCCAGTCTAGTATTTTGTTGTTTATTTTGGAGATAGTGTCTCCAAGTCCAACTGGCTTGGAACTATGATCCTTCAAGTATCAGACTCTCCAATAGCTAGGATTATAAGCAGGAGCCATAGGCACCTTGCTTCTGATAATTATTTTTTAAAAGACATTCCCAGTGGACGCTGGTGGTCACACCTGTAATGTTAGCTAATTAGAAGACTGAGATCTGAGAATCACAGTTTGAAGCCAACCTGGGCAGGAAAGTCTGTGAGACTCTTGTCTACACTTAATGACCAGAGAAGCTGAAAGTAGTGCTGTGGCTCAAGTGGTAGAAAGCTGGCCTTGAGCAAAGGAAGCTCAGAGACAGTGCCCATGTCCTGAATTCAAACCTAAAGATTTGTGCATGTGCGTGTGTACGTATGTGTGTGCTCACATGCATGCACGTGTACACACAAATACACACACACAATGTATTTAAGTTCAGTGCTAGAAACCTCTATTCTCTTCTAGTGATGGTTTAAGGATAGTTTGATTTAGTCACTTGTTTCTATTCCAATTAAAAGCAAACAACATTGAGGATCTTTTGAAGTACACAGAATCTCCCACTGTTACTTACTGGGTATGTTACTTGATGTTTTTGAGCTGTAAAATTAAGAAGAATACTTGTAGAGTACTAGCAATTAGATGCATTTAGCCCAAGCTCAAAAATTTTTATTTTTCAGCTCTCCTGCAAATCGTTGTGTAGTGAATTTATGTGGGAGGGCAACTAGATATAAATGGAAAGAGAGTTATACAATTAAGCCGGGCTCTAGTGGCTCATGCCTGTAGTACTAGCTACTCAGGAAGCTGAGAACTAAGGATCGAGGTTCAGAGTCAACTCAGGCAGAAAAAGTCTCTGAGACTCTTATCTCCAATGAACTAGCAAAAAGCCACAAGTAGAGGTGTGGCTCAAGTGGTAGCACACCAGTATTGAGCAAATAAACTAAGGGACATTGCCAGGGCCCTGAGTTCAAGCCCTAGTACCAGCACACATGCACAAAGAAGTATATAATTGAATTCTACTTTGTGGGAAAAAGTCTGGAGAAATGGAACTTAGCCATTTCTAAGATTACCAAAAGGTAGCAATCAAAATGAAAAGTTTGTATGAAAATGGAAGTTTGGATTTATGTTCAGTTGGAAGACATGGTTTTTATAACAGACCAGTGATTACTTTTTATTTTATTTTAAAAAATTCTTACAGTGACAGAAAAAGAATGTCTGTAATTGTTCGAACTCCATCAGGACAACTGCGGCTCTATTGTAAAGGCGCTGTAAGTACCTGTGATGTCTGTCCTGTAGCAGATAGCTCTCAGCAGTTTGTCAGTATGTCACTTTGCTTTAGTGCTTTTGTCATTATACCCTGATTGTTGCCTGAAGTTGAGAAGCTTTTTCAGCAGGCCAATTGTAAAGCTAACTGTGGATAGCTGGCACAGGGCAGCATGTAAAGATGGAAAATCTGCCTTTAGCCAGTAGTTGGTTTCAGAAATGGAAGTTTGATTTGCCATACAAAATCTTTGGTGCCATACAAAATCTTTACAACTATGGTATTCAGTCTCTGGAAAGGTAAAATAATTTGTGCTATCTGTGATAATGTTCTTTACTCTGATAGATGTTTTCTAATAGCTATTCCTTCCTTCCTTCCTTCCTTCCTTCCTTCCTTCCTTCCTTCCTTCCTTCCTTCCTTCCTTCCTTCCTTCCTTCCTCCCTCCCTCCCTCCCTCCCTCCCTCTCTCTCTCTCTCTCTCTCTCTCTCTCTCTCTCTCTCTCTCTCTCTCTCTCTCTCTTTCTTTTTTCCTTTCTTCCCCCCCTCTTCTTTTGCAGGTGCTAGGGCTTGAACTCAGGGCCTGAGCTTTTACACTCAGGGCTGATACTCTACCACTTGAGCCACAGCTCCACTTCTAGCTTGTATAAGAGTCTCATGGACTTCCACCTGTGCTAACTTCCAACTCTGATCCTCAGATCTCAGCCTCCTGTGTAGCTAGGATTACAGGCATGAGCCATCAGGGCCCAGCTACCTGTTCTTAATTATAGTTGGTTTGTAGGTATGAGAGAGAACATGCATGGCTGCTTTATTTGATCAGTTTCCCAGATCAGGCTTTTTGTTCTGTGTCCCTTTTTATAACTAAACCCAAAAATGTTCTCTTTAAGGAAATATATCATTGCTTATGAACTATACTTGTAAAACAATATCCTGTTAAATGGTAGTCTTATCAGTAGAGGGAAATTATTGCTAAACTATTTCATGAGACTATGTCAAGAAAATGCTTATAAGCTAGGAGCTGCGATCATGCCTGTCATTCTAGCTACTCAGGAAGGTGAGATCTGAAGACCAAGGTTCAAATCCAGCCCAGGCAGACAAATTTGCGAGACTGTTATCTCCAGTTAGCTAGCAGAAAGCTGTAGGTGTGGCTCAAGTTGTAGGGTGCCAGGATTGAGTAAAAAAGTCAAGCAAGAGCATAAGGCCCTGAGTTTCAGCCCCAATATGGGAACAGATGAAAAAAGTGTCCCCAAACCAAGCCATTGATGTGACATCAGCAGGAAATTCTACAACTAACCTCATATGATGAATTACAATCAAAATGTAGACACAGTAAAAATATATCTAAATTTACCTTGGGCTGTGGTTATAAGGTGCTTATGAAATATAGGTGAGTTTTGTGTTTAGACTTGAGCCTCATCCCTGAGAAGTATCATATATGTAAATATCCTAAAATATGAAGAAAAAGCTAAATCTGAAACATTGTCATCCTAAGCATTTCAGATAGTGATATACAGCCCATATACCCATCCAGAGGTGAATCTTGGAAATATACACAAGCACAGGCATTATTGTGCCCTTGACTATTCTTCTGGTCCCCAGAGTCCTTCCCAATTTGTTTTTACTTGACTTTTAAGATACATACCAGAAAAGGTTTTGTTGAACATGTCCATACTCAATTTTATTGCTCAAGAGCAGGCCTGAGCCCAGCCAAGAACTCTGTTCTTAGTTGCCCAGTCAAGTATTTTCATGTACATTAGATAAACATCTACAAAACAAAACCATGTTTAGTATGCCAAATGGGAGACGTGCTCAAGGGTTGGCCAGTATGAAACACTTCATGGGAAATGTTTCCCTGTTTTATAGGACAACGTCATTTTTGAAAGACTTTCAAAAGACTCAAAGTACATGGAGGAAACATTGTGCCATCTGGAGTATTTTGCCACAGAAGGTGAGTCTCGGACATGGTATTTTTTTTTTTTTTTTTTGGTCCAGTGGTGGGGCCTGAACTCTGGGCCTGGGCGCTATCCCTCACCTCTTCAGCTCAAGGCTAGCACTCTATCACCTGAACCACAGTGCCACTTCCGGCTTTTTTCTTTTTGCTTATGTGGTGCTGAGGAATCGAACCCAGGGCCTCATGCGTGCAAGGCAAGCGCTCTACCACTGAGCCACCTTTCCAGCCCCTCAGACATGCTATTTTTAACCCTTAAGTCAAATGTTTGTGAGTACTTCATGGGCAGGCAGTCATGTTCTGAAAAGATATGTCCTTTTTAAAATTAAGTTTTCAAATTATCTTTAAGTAGTTGTACAAAGAGCTTTCAATTTAATATGCCAGTTTATTAGTACAGTGCATTGTGATCAATGTCACCCCTTTCATCATTCTCCCCCATCTCTCCCAACCCTACCCAGCCCCTCAAGTTACCTGCTTCCACATTCACATATGTACAGTGAATATTCTGGCTGTACACACTCATTCTCCCTCTCTCCTTTCATCTGCCCTTCCACCCTTTGACTCCCCTACCTCCTGAAAACATGTTTCAGTTTCCTGGTATACTTTTGTTGTTTGAAGGAGTTGTACCATTGTAATCCTCCCTGTCAATAGCATACTTTAGGCAATATATTTATGTTTATATATATGCATATGACTCTGTATAGTTTATATTTATAATTTATAAATGTAAGAGAATATATATAAATATAAGAGAAAACAAATTGTTTAAATAGGGATACAGGTGGACCCAGAGATATCGAAAAACGAACTTTACAACTTTCGTCGGAGGTGGGGTGGGTTGGGGGGGAGGGGGTGCGTGGAGGGGAGGATGGGAAGGGATGGGAAGGGGAAACAAAGGAGGAGGCAACAGTGCTTGATAAGAAATGTACTCATTATCTTGCCCATGTAATTGTAACCCCTCTGTACAGTATTTTCACAATAAAAAAAAATACTACTCAGCTACAAACACCAAAAAAAAAAAAGAGAAAACATGCACCTTTTTTCTCAAGGAGCTTGATTTTTTTTTTCACTCAGATATGTCCTTTTTGTGCAATATTTGGCTTATTTCACAGAAACAGATTTTCCAAGTAGCCTCTTCATCCCTGCTCATCTATTTCTGTGCCTATGGCAATGAGAAAGTAGGCAGCAAAGTTCCAATCTGTATATAACCTGATCACAGAAGGGTACTCACAATACCAAAAACCATCCTGCAGTCAGTCTCATTCTGGGAAAATTCAGGTGATTACTGACACCCACTCCTGCCCCGCTCCCCCATCAGTCCAAGGGCTTAAACTCAGCCAGCTTATTTTGCATGAGTCTAGTGCTCTATCACTTGAACCACAACTTTACTTCTGGCTTTTTCTTTTTTGAAGGCTTATTGGAGATTAGAATCTCAAGGACTTTCCTGTCCTGGCTAGCTTTGAACCGTGATCCTCAGATCTCAGCCTCCTAAGTAGCAAGGATTACAGATGTGAACCACCAGTGCCCAGTTTCCCCGACTCTCTTATTCTCCTATGACATTGGCTTCTCCATGACTTCAGGAGGGAATAAGTCACTGGGCCTACATTGAACAGGAGAGGAGCTCTTAGGATGTCTTCAGTCAACAATGACATCCAGTTTCTCTGCTGGTGATGGTATTGATAGCAGGAGCCAGGCTTAACTGCAGATTGTGCTTTGTCACCATGGTGTGTTCCTATGGCTACACAAGCACGCATATGTGAGATGTGTGTTACACACACACACACAGAGCCCTACACACTTGATCAGGCACAGCTGCCTGAAAACCCACTCTTTCATGAGAAAGCACAATTGGGCTTTTAGTGTCAGTTTCCAAGCATACTTCTTTCCCTTCTTCCTCTATTTGCTGATTCCTGCCTACTGTGCAGGTACATGTGGATCATGCACAGCTCCTATATCCCTTGGCTATGGAAAATTCATTTTTTTACATAGGCAATTTGTGCAAGAATATAGTAACATTTAAAAATTTCCCTTTGTAGGTATATGACCTTAAAAGTATATGGCTTCTATAATTTCCTTTTTTTTTTTTGAGATATAAAAAGGAGCCACATGATGGGCTAGGAAGCAATGTATTCCTCTTGCCACAATTCACCAGTGGCTGTCTTGCAGGCTTGCGGACTCTTTGTGTGGCCTACGCTGATCTCTCTGAGAATGAGTATGAGGAGTGGCTGAAAGTCTACCAGGAAGCCAGCATCATACTGAAAGACAGAGCTCAGCGCTTGGAAGAGTGTTATGAGATCATTGAGAAGGTAAGCACACCCAGAATAGTATCTTTTGTGCCCAGTGAAGGACTTAAGCTTCTACCTGCTCAACAAAGTCTTTCAACAGAAATTCTGTTGTCCTATAATGAACACTTTTATTGTAAATGTTATAATGTTAACTCATTTCTTTGCTTTATTGAATCTATCTATCTATCTATCTATCCATCTATCTATCTATCTATTATCTATCATCTATCTATCTTTTTTTGTCGGTGCTGAGGCTTGAACTTAGAGCCTTTCTTTCTCACTTGGCTTTTTTGCTTGGATTTTTGGTTCAAGGCATGATTACTTGAGCCACAGCTCCACTTCCTGATATTTTCTGGTTAATAGGAGATAAGAGTGTCAAGAACTTTCCCGCCCAGGCTGTTTGGAATCCTGATCCTCAGATCTCAGCCTCCAGAGTAGTTAGAATGTAGTTAGTAGTAGTAGTTAGTAGTAGTTAGACATGAGCCACCAGCTCTCCCCTAGCTATTTCTTTACTTTGTTTACATGTGTTGTCTGAAAAGTGTAGCTACACTCAGCTTAGTATTAATGATATTGTAATAAATATTAGTCAAAAACTGCATTGATGGCTTTCTGGCTTTTGGAAGATTAACCTTAATGAGCTTGCCCTATTGAGTTCTTTGAGCAATCAGAGTGTTAGGCTGGTTAGGAATTCTCACACTTATTTATGTTTTACTGTTGATATTCCTTATTTCATAGTTTGATTTTGTTTTGTTTGTTTTTTAGTTTATCCCAGGCACTAGGTAGTTTTATACTATATGATCCCTTTGAATGTGGAAGCTAGATTTCAACTTTTTTAGTTCATATAAACAATCAATGGATTATTGATTTTCCAGTTTCTATAACTTTGAACCATTGCTTGCTTTTTGTTTGCTTTTACTTGTTAGTTCTCAAGTTTTATTTTATTATTTTTTTTGTAATAGTTCTTGGGCTTGAACTTAGGCTCGTCTTCTCTCTTGTTTCTTTTCTTTTTTCTCTCAAGGCTAGCACTCTAAAACCTGAGCCACACATCTAGTTCCAGCTTTTAGAGATGAGCCCCTTGAATTTATCTGCCTGGGCTGGCTTTGGACCATGATCCTTAAATCTCAGCCTTCTATGATTACAGGCATGTGCCACTGGGGCCTGGTCATACTAAGTTTTTACTTGAGTTTTGTGTTTAATCATTTTAATGGAAGCAAGGTAGAGGTAGAACTAAATCCAGGCATTTATTTGCCCTGCTTTACTATAGAAAAAAATAAAAGGTGTTGTGTTGCCTTTATCAAATTTTACTTAAACAGTCAAGGTTCTAGAACATGACAACGTTACTGGAAGAAGGTGTTTCTTATAATTACACCATATAGAGAGCCTATGTTTATAGCCAAATAAAAGGAATTGACATATAGAAAAAACCTGATTGGTTACAATTAGCATTTTCCTTATATGGACAAGTTTCAGTCCCTGATTGGCAGGAGGTTCAACTCCTCTGATTGGCTAACATTATTTGGATATATTGTTAGGCTAAATAAGTTTGTTCGCACAGCAAGTTAGGTTATAATTCACATGTATGGAGTCTACTTTGTGCCACATTTTATCAGCCAAGTATAAAAACAAGATCAGGCCAAACATAAAATGGAAATATCGCAAACTCTGTTTAGCATCTGAAAAATTGTTTAAATAGTTGTTCTAACTATGTGGTGCCTAGCTTATATATGGTGGATACATATGAGGTGGTTGAATTTTGCTGGTAACTACAGTGTTGTGTAAAGACTCAGTAGAGGCTGGTAAGTGGTGGGGCAGACTGGTCTACATAGTTTGTCTGGGATCTGCTAGACCAATAGCCAAAGCCTGAAAACCTAGAGGTTCAAGCACATTGACACCCACTCTTATCCTCAAATGGCTGTCCTGTGCATTGAAGAAACTGTAAGGGCAGCAGTTTGTAAGGCCTTAGCCTTCAGATACTTCTGTGTTTTCTTCTCTAGCCATTTAATGGCACTTAGGATTTACCCAGAGCCTCAGTGCATGCTGAACTAATGCTCTGTGTCACTGTGTTGCATCTCTACCCCTCCAGCTTTCAATCCTGAGCATCACAAGTCTCTTATACCTATACTTACAGACAAATGTGGCACCTAGATTTGATAGTTTTCATAGGCTGAGTATTGTGATAGCTTATCCATTAGTGGAACAAGAGGGGTGGGGTCAAGCATTATTAATGCCAGGATAATCTACTTATGTTCTCTGCTGCTTGGATGATATCTACCTTTACTGCCCAAGAACTGAGAAATGAATGATGAGTGTTGGTTGCCTCTGTGTATGTGTATGTGTGTGTGTGTGTGTGTGTGTGTGTGTGTATGTGTGTGTGTGTGAGTGTGTGTATGTGTGCATGCGTGCCCATGTGTGTGCACGAAGTAGTTCCAACATGGTGAATGCTTGGGCAATGCCACATACCTAGATATTATGAATCATCTACGACATGGGTTTAGTGTAGAAGAGTAAGGATAAATGACTGAGAGCATTTCAATTGCCTGGGTCAGAGTTGTTATTAATGCTGATCTTAGGTCTGAACTAGTCTTTAATAGAAGCTACTTTTCATTCTAGAATTTACTATTACTTGGAGCTACAGCCATAGAAGATCGCCTTCAGGCCGGCGTTCCAGAAACCATTGCTACATTGCTGAAAGCAGAAATTAAAATATGGGTATTGACAGGAGACAAACAAGAAACTGCAATTAATATAGGTAATCATTTTTATTTATTTTTATTTATTTTTAATTTTTATTGCTATTATAAAGGTGATGTGCCGGGCGCTGGTGGCTCGCGCCTGTAATCCTAGCTACTCAGGAGGCTGAGATCTGAGGATCACGGTTCAAAGCCAGCCCGGGCAGGAGAGACCATGAGACTCCTATCTCCAATAAAAACCAACAGAAAATTGGAAGTGGCGCTGTAGCTCAAGTGGTAGAGCGCTCGCCTTGAGCTGAAGAGCTGAGGGACAGTGCCCAGGCCCAGAGTTCAAGCCCCATGACCGACAAAAAAAAAAAAAAAAAGGTGATGCATGTAGGGGTTACAGGTAAACAGTAAACAGTACTTTTTTTTTGGACAATGTCACCCCTTCTCTCATGCTCTCCTGGTTTTCCCTCCTATCTCCATCCATAAGTTGTATAGTTCATTTTCAACATAGTGTCTAGTGAGTGCTTCTGCTGCAGTTGTTTACCTTTTGTCCTTCCATTTCTGTGCCTCCCCTTACTCTCCCAAAGACATATAAATAAGGATGAAAAGAAAACATAAACAACAACAAAGAATAAACCTCTTGTTTCCATTTCCTGAAGTAATTTAAAAAAATTCTGTAATGCTAATTTTGTGTGTGTGTGTTGTGCATGCATGCGCGCACACACGGATACACCAGTACTGGGGCATAAACTCAGGGCCTGGGCACTTGCCTTTAGATTCTTTATTCAGGCGTGACATACTATTATTTTAGCTAGAGCTCCATTTCTGACATTTCAGTGGTTAATTGGAGATTAGAATCTCACAGACTTTCCTTCATAGGCTGGCTTTGAACCATGATCTTCAGATCTCAGCCTCCTGAATAGCTAGGATTACAGCTATGAGCCACTAGCACCTGTCTATTTTTATTTTTTTTTAAGGAAATTAAATTCATCCCAGAAGGCCATGATCATTGGAAAGACAACTGATTCAACAGAGTAGGTTTGAAGAAAGAGATACATTTGATTAGGTTGACAGCATTCTAAAGAAACTACTTTGAACAGAACTGCAGTCACTTGATTTCAGCGTTTCTAGTAATTTTCTCAATACATTAATAAATTGTGTAACACTTTTTTCCCTTCAGTGCTATGGATTGAACGGGGGGGGGGGACTTCTTGCCTGCTAGGCAGTTGCTCTACATCAGACCCCAAAGTTACACAACTTTTTTTTTGGTGGTATTAGTGTTTGAACTCAGGACTTCACCTTCCCAGTCATTTTTGCTTTAGTTATTATTATTATTAATTCATTGCATAGGCTCTTGTGTTTTGCCCAGGCTGGCCTCCTATTCACACTTCCCACATAGCTAGAATGCAGATGTACATCACTACAACCAGTGTATTGCCTGATATAAGAGTCTTGCTAGCTCTAAGTAAAGTTTCTTTGAAGAAAGCAATAAGAAATCTAAATTTTCAACTTTTGAATTCTATATGCTATCTAAAAAAAGATTATTTTGTGCATGTTCCTGAGAAGGCATAGTAAGATAGTTTTGGCACCAAAAGCAGTTACATTCATTAGGATTTCTTCCTCTCCTCTCCTCTCCTCTCCTCTCCTCTCCTCTCCTCTCCTCTCCTCTCCTCTCCTCTCCTCTCCTCTCCCTCTCCTCTCTTCTCCTCTCCCTCTCCCCTCTTCTCCTCTCTCTCTCTCTCCCCTCCTCTCCTCTCCCTCTCCCCTCCTCTCCTCTCCTCTCTTTTCTCTCTCCTCTCCCCTCCCCTCCCCTCCCCTCCCCTCCCCTCCCCTCTCCTCTCCTCTCCTCCCCTCCCCTCCCCTCTCCTCTCCTCTCCTCTCCTCTCCTCTTCTCGGGTTGAATGTAAGGCCTTATGCTTGCTAGGAAAGTGCTCTACCACCTGAACTATACTGCCCCCCTCGCTGTTTTGTTTTTCATATAAGGCCTCAGGCTTTTCTTAGTCTAGCCTTGAACTGTTACCTTCCTGTTTCTGTCTCCCAAGTAATAGGGATTATAGGCATGTGCCACCAGACTTGGCCTTCCACCAAGCATTTCTTAGTAAGTATTCTCAAGATGTTTCTTTGCTCACTTGTTATCTGTGTGTCAGTCACATCAAAATTTCTTCTTTGATGTTATTGAACATGTTGTTAGCAGTTAGGGACTGGTGATCTTTGAAAGGGCTTTGTCTGAACCATTCTTTATTCACTCTCCCTTAGCATTTTTATACCTGTGTCATAGCTCCACTTCTAGCTTTTTGGTAGTTAATTGGAGATAAATGCCTCATGGACTCTTTGAAGCCTGGTATGGCTTCAAACCATGATCCTTAGATCTCAGCCTCCCAAGTAGCTAGAATTACAGGCACAAGACACTGACAGCCAGCTTGAAAGTTAAAAGAATGACTTTTTCTCAGTTGAACTCAGACCCTCACACATACTAGGTAGGCCCTCTACTGCTGAGCTACATCTCTAGCTGAAGAATTTATTTATTAAGTAGTGCACAAAGGGTTACAATGTCATAAGTCAGGTTGGAGAATTTATTTTTTTATGTAATTTTTCTTTCATATCTAGGAAATAAAAATACTTAGTCAAATTAAGTTCCAGGATATTTGTGTGTTTTATAACCTGTGAATTTTGTGCAGATAGACAAATTGTCTTGTTGGGAGAAATTTACTAGTTTGAAACTGGCTTGTTGCCCGGAGCCTGCAGGGCTGGGTTTCAGTTTGTACTAACTTGCTGTATTTTGAGGAGTCGGCACAATTTTCATTTTTAACTTAAAAGTTTGGCATGGACTAGTCTAAAGTGAAATTTCAGATGTGGTCTCTGTGAATCATGTAGTTGTCATTTCCTTATTAGCACTGGATAAGACATCCATTAAGTAGTTGTAGATAGATGTAGAGTTTCAGAGTCTATTTTTTTTCCTAATGAATGTGGAATGAGTGAGAAAAGAATCTCAATGTTCATTTCATCTCAGACTATTTCTGAGTTCTGATTTGGAGTTTCTCAATATACTTAACTTTTATTATCCATCAATGGATACTTTTTCTTTCTGGCTGATAATGGAGCCTGAAGTCAGAGTCTTACACTCTCAGTAGGCTTGCTTATGGCTCAGGTTGTACTCTTCCACTTGCACTGTTTGACTTTGTGCTGGTTAATTGGAGAGGGAGTCTCCTGAACTTTTCTACCTGAACTGACTTCAAATGGTCATTCTCTGGATCTAAGCCTTCTAGGTATCTAGAATTACAAGCATGTGCCCCTAGCATCTAGCTCATTTTATTTTATTATTTAATTTAATTTATTTTCTGTGCCTGTCTGGGACTTGAACTCAAACTCAGGGCCTGGGAGCTGTCTCTTTGCTTCTTCATTCAATGCTGGCCCTGTAACACTTGAGTTATAGCTAAAACTTCTGGCTTTTTTGGAGATAACAGTCTCAAAGACTTTCTTGCCTGGGCTAGCTTCAAACCATGATCCTCATATGTCAGCCTCCTGAATAGCTATGATACAAGTATGACCTACCGTACTTTGTGACTACCAGTAGCTAGTATGAGTTCATTATATATAAGACAGAATTCATAACAGAAATGAAACAGATAAGTTCATATGAATTGTAGTGTAGAGGCTAAATATGCTGTCTGTAATAGTTACTAGTAAACATCAGATATTGTTTTTTTATTGTGAAAATACTGTACAGAGAGGTTACAATTACATGGGCAAGATAATGAGTACATTTCTTATCAAGCATTGTAGCCTCCTCCTTTGTTTCCCCTTCCTATCCCTTCCCATCCTCCCCCCGTCCCCTGCACCAAAGTTGTAAAGTTCGTACGTGTCAGATATTGTGCAAACCCCTTTCACAGCACTATGAGTGCATCCCAAGTAGATGGCCACAGATCCTGTAGATATATACATCCTAAAGATTAAACTAAACAGCAATATTGAGTAACTCGGTCTGGGCCACCTGAGTGTAAGGATGAATTTAAATCTGGCATGTAGTCATACTACATGATACCTTCTTCCCAGAAGGAAGACCAAGGAGAGGTTCACAGATGAGATAGGTAGAAAACTTGAGCCTTCAACAATTTTTTTAAAGTACTGTACACTAGTGGCTCATGCCTATAATCCTGGCTACACAAGAGGATCGATGTTAGAAGCCAGTCCTAGCAAAAAAAAAGTCTGTGAGACTCTTTATCTCTAATTAATCAACAAAATGCTAGAAGTGGAGGTGTAGCTCAAGTGGTAGACTGCCAGCTTTGAGTGAAAAAGCTAAATAAGAGAGCTAGACCCCGAGTTCAAGCCCCATACCAGCATTTAAATAAATAAGTAAACAAATCAAGTCCTGCTTTGAGTAGTATAGGCTCTGTAATACTTTGATTTCTTGAGTGTTGATTATACGCAGGCAGTAGAAAGATGAAAAAATTTTTTGTAGTGTGCTGTTAATTTCATCTGTAGTAAAAAGTGAAATCTCAGGGGTATTTCTCCTAGTCATTTTATGGTCATCTTGTTAAATTGTCAGATTAAAGATCTAGACTTCAATTTATAAGTATGGTTTGACTTTTTCTACCTGGCTCTTTGCCAAGAGTTGATCTCATGTTATCCAAAAACATTAGAAATCAAATGCACAAAACTTGGATTGGCATGATATATTTTACTACATTGGTTAAATCACAGTTAACTAGGTTAAACTTCTGTGGTCTGTGTAGAGCGAATGTTCTGTGTGATAATTCTCTAAGAAAAAAAATCTCATGTCATTTTCCAAATTAAAAAAGTAAGCAAACAAACTAAGTAAGCAAACAAACTAATTTGTTTCTTCTCAGGAGGCTTTCTCTGTGTGTATTTAAGTTCACCCAAGTATCAGTAGTTTTATTTCTTGTCTCCCTATTCTCTTGCCAACCATGGTGACAAAAAACACTTAGGATTTTTCATAATATTGTGGTATAACTTCACTTGTCAAATGGCATTTTGCCTAAATTGCAAAAGCTAAAATAAAGCAGAAAGCTGGGACATAAAAATCAAGAGTTGTGTCCACAGCTGTTGTTCAAATAAAATGCTACCAGCAAATCTTTTTACATTAGTTACAATAATCCTCTACATTGTATGAAGTTGCTGGCAGTCTCTAAGGATGGAGGGTTAAGCCAAACATGGGGTCGATCCCTTTTGTCAGTGAAAGCAAAGTGTTGAGCCTCTCTTCTGGACCTATCAAACAATGTGAGGGAAGGAAGAATATATTTGCAAAATGTTAATAGTAACAAAGAATTGAACATCCATTTATTTTCTGTCCACCACTGTTGTTAAGTTGTTTGAGAATATACACATAATTGTTTCATTTTTTTCTCCCTCCTTTTTAGGAGGTACTTAACAAACATTTGCCATGTGGTATTATTCAGTTGCTTTAGTTTTTAGAAATACACGGTGGTTTTATAAGAGAAATGATCTCATTTCCATGATATAATGATTATTAAACAGCTTGTATGCCATCTCTTTTGATATGGCTTTAAAAGATATTAACTGCATTTTTTAAAAAATTTGTTTTTTTGCTTTAAAGTTTGTCTTCTGAGGTGCTTTACAAAATATTTTTTAAGTGACAATCATGAATGAAAAATATACTGTACATTGCAAAATAAATAAAAATATTACTTGTTCCATATTCCTTCCTCTCCTTCAGCCCAACAAAGTTTTTTATTTTGGACTGGTAGTGGGCTTTGAATTCAGGCCCTCACACTCCTCCAAGGCTCTTTCATTCAAGGCTGGCACTCTACTACTTGAGCCACAGCTCCACTTCTGACTTTTTTGACTGGCTTCAAACCATGATCCTCAGATCTCAGCCTCTTGAGTAGCTAAGGTTACAGGTATGAGTACAGGCAATTGGCTCACAAAGGTTCTTCTTGATCTTAATTTCTTCCCGTTTTAACTTCTGTTTTATACTTGTGGTTGGATTTTCCTAAGGATGAAAGTAGAATCTGCTGGGTAGAAAAGTCCCTTAGTTAAATGCCTGTCTCCTTTTTGTTTTTAAGTTCAATCTAGCGTCACCAAGAATGCCTTTTGTGGATGTTCCATGATGGAAACCCAGGCTGTTCCTTCTGGCTTTAGGAACAGAGTTGGCCCTTCTTTGAGATTGTATGCACATTATTTAAAGATTGAACTTTTGCCTACCGAATGACTTGTTTTTTGTTTTTTTATTTTTAAATTTATTGTAAACTTGTTTTATTTAATTGTTGATATATTATCTTCAGTTGTTAAGAAAAATACAGGTAGCAGGGGCCCATTTCCAAGGTAGATTTATTCCTTGTTCCTTCTCAATGACAGAAAATGGAGATGAGGCAGGTAAAAGGTACCTATTAATGCCAACCCTTCTCCAGGGAACTGAAAGGATGTGGAGTCATTTGAAAGAAAGACTAGTACTTGGCAAGACACCATGGGTCTTGGGTTGCTTGAGTTGCCTGCTCCCCCACTAAACCTGTGGATTTGAGAGAGGAGAAGTCAGGAGGCTCTTGTCGTGGTCTGTGAGAGGTCCTTGGATAAAAAAGAACTTTATAGAAGTACGTTGCCTTCCAAGGAAGAGAAGAAGCAATTTCTCTTTACTTTGATTTAAAAATGCAATTGAAAATTTTGATACTAATCAGGAGGTTGAACTCAGGGCCTGAGTACTATCCCTTAGTATTTTTGCTCAAAGCTGGTACACTACCATTTAAACCACAGCTCACTTTCCAGCTCTTTCCTGGTTAATTGCAGATTAGAATCTCACACTTTCCTGCCCTGGCTAGCTTTGAATCCTGATCCTCAGATTTCAACCTTCTGAGTAGCTAGGATTACAGGCAAGAGCATATAACCCACTTTTTAAATAAAGGAAATGCAGGATCTGGCAATTGCAATAGGCATGTTTATGCTGGTAAGAACAACACTCAATTTCCTTTGTCTTCCTAAAGTGTTTGATGTTATTTTAGATAATCTAAGGCTCATTTTAATGTTACACAAGGATTATGAGGTTAAAGAAAAATCCACAGAAAATTGACAAGTATTTGTTTTAGCCTTTACTTATAAAGACTTTCTCAACCAGATCTATTTACACTGCCTACAAGAATCAAAATCAACTTAGGCTCACATTTTCTTCACTTTTTCCCTTTTCCTCAGTATGAATGGAAATAGGCAGACCTAAGAAGGGAGGCTGAATTTGATCAGCTATCGAAGACTTAGGAATTCATGTGTTGTCCCTTCTCCATTTAGGATATTCCTGCCGATTGGTATCACAGAATATGGCTCTTATCCTACTGAAGGAGGATTCCTTGGATGTAAGTAGCTTTTCAAAAGTTGTATCTGATATAGTTTTATTAAATGTGTGGCTTGTTTCCACCATGACTGACAGTTTGCTTTTATTTGTGAAAAGCAATTATAAAACTACTGTGTTTAGTTTACTTATGTGTATGAGCAGATGTTTTATCCATAAAACATCAAAATATTCTAAGTTGAGAATATTGTCTTCTTCACTTAGAATTGTGCATTTGAAATGGGTTTGATTTGGTTTGAAATTTGGTTTGATTTTAATGGTCACTTATGAAATATTTACCTGAACTAATGGAACCAATTATGAAATGACTTCTAAGAAGTGGTGACTTCATTGTAGGTTACTAGAGTGTTTTCTTTCTAGTAGAAACTTCAACATCAAGCTAATGCTCAAGTGTATGTAGTTATTTAAATTTATGTAGTCATAGAGCTGGGCATGGGTGGTTAATGCCTAATAGCTACTTAGGAGGTTGAGATATAAGGATTGCTGTTTCCTGCCCAGGCAAGAAAGCCCATGAGACTCATATCCAATTAGCCATCAAAAAGCCAGAATTGGAGCTATGGCTCAAGTGGTAGAGCACCAGCTTTGAGCCAAAAAGCTAAGAGAAGGTCGGGACACCGAGTTCAAGCCCCAATACTGACCCATTGCAACAATGAGAAGTACAAGTTGTTATGTCAAAAACGAACTTTACAACTTTGGTGGTGGGGGGGGCGGGGAGGATTGGGTGGGGGAGGCGAGGGGAGGATGGGAAGGGATGGGAAGGGGAAACAAAGGAGGAGGCTACAATGCTTGCTAAGAAATGTACTCATTATCTTGTCCATGTAATTGTAACCCCTCTGTACAGTATTTTCACAATAAAAAATAAATAAAAATTAAAAAAATAAATTAAATTATGTGGTAATAGGATACATATGCACTTAATTTCCCAACACCAGATACCACTAGTTCACTGAAAATTGAACAACATGGTTCTCTAAGTACTTTATAGACAATTTTCTACTCCATCTTAGCATAAAACCACTGAAGATACTGGGCTGGGTAAACAATGATCTGTGAAGTTGTTTGATATGAAAATATGAGCTAACTATGAGATTTCATTTGTTAAGATTTCTAACAGGACCAAGTCCAGTGGCTCACACTTGTAGTTCTAGAAACTCAGAAGATCTGAAGATTATGGTTCAAAGCCAGCCTGGGCTTTGAACCTATAATTCTACCTTCTCCGGATTTCTGAAGATTGCTGTGAAGATTGTGATTCAAATCCAGCTCAGGCAGGAAAGTTCTTGAAACTCTTATCTCCAGTTAGCTGCCCAAAAGCTGGAAGTGGAGTTGTGGCTCAAGTGGTAAAATGCTAGACTTGAGTGAAAAAGCTCAAGGATAGCACCTAGGCAGGCCCTGAGTTCAAGCATCAGGATCAGCATAAACAAAACAAAACAAAAACAAAGAATTCTAACAAATTTCTATCACTTACCTGTAGCCACCATTCTATTCAGATTATTTAATGCTAGTGCTAAAAGTTGATGGAAGCGTTTGTTATGCTTTTCAAGGGAGGAAAGAAGTATTTACAGAAGTTTCTATTTGTGCAAATTGGGGAGGTGTCTACTGTGAAGACCAAGATGCTTTCTACCCTTTCACCATCCCCAAGAATAGGAGGCAAGAACACAGTTCATAGTTCTGTGTGTTTCCAAGGCACTGCTGGCAAGATACCCCTCTTGATATGAGAGCTTCAGGGTTCAGCTCACGTGGCTGTTATCCTTGTTTGCATTGTTGTCTGTGTGCTACCTTTTGTAGGACATAACATATCTGAGAAAATCATATATAACCCCTGAGATAATCATATAAAGAAAAGGCTTATTTTGGCACACAGTTTAGAAGTTACATTCTATGATTGGTTGGCTCCATTATTTTGGGCCTGTATGGAGGCAGCTCATCATGGCGGGAATGTACAGTGATGAATAACCACTTGCTTCAAGGTTAGGAGACAAAAAGAAACAAGCAAACAAATTATCAAGGAAATAATTAAAAAGATAAAAAGGAAGAGGCAGAGACTAGGGTCCCCAGACTTCTGCAGGGGAGTGTCCTCAAAGACCTCTCATTAGGTTCTACCTCTCAATGGTTCTACTACCTGTCAATAATGCCACTCTGAGAACCAAGTCTTTAACAGATGGGTTTTTGAGCATCATTCAACATTCAAACTATAGAAACCTATGGAGAAGATATTTGCTAGCTATAGCTCAAAAAATTACTACCCTAGAGAATCAATAATCCAATTAATAAATGGGCAAAGGAGCTAAACAGACACTTCTCAGAAAAAAGTACAAATGGCCAATAAAGACATGAAGAAATGATTAGCATCTTTGGCCATAACGAAATGCACATCAAAATAACAGTGGCCATGATCAAGAATACAAACAACAAAATGCAAAGAAAAAGGAATCCTACTTCACTGTTGGTAGGTATGTAAAGTAGTGCAACTACTATGGAAATTAGTATGGGAGTTTCTAAAAAATTAAAAAAGAGAAATCCCCCATGGTCCCACAGTATCACTTATGCTTTTATCCAAAAGGTTGTAAGTCAGGATACATTAAAACTGTTTGCACATCAATTATTACAGTACTATATTCACCATAGCCAAGTTATGGAAATAGCTCAGATACACTATAACCAACGAATAGACAGAAAGTATAGCATATACACATACCCACATGTGCATGAATATGCACAAACCCCCACACACACCATTTTATTTATCCATCAAGAAACTATCATTTTTAGGGAAATGAATGGACCTGGAAAAACTCATATTGAATGAAGTAAACCAGACTCAGGAGAGATAAGGGGCACATACTTTCCTTTATATATGGAAATTAGATCTAAAATATAAACATATGAAAATATATAGAGCCATATGCATATATACTCTATCAAACTGAGTTAGGTATGAGATGTGCAGGGGTGGTTTCCATAGTGTAAGTGCTTTCAACTATTAACAATTAATATATGGCTAAAATATGTCTATGAGAGAAGTGAGGGCCAAGGGAAGAAAGAGGGTGGAAGAGTAGAAAGAGGAATGGTGGGTGAATACAATAATAATACTCAATGTACATATGTAAAATGAAAACAGGTAATTTAAGATTGGTGGGAAATGAGATACGTGAGAATGATGGAAGGGATGACTTTAATCAAGATACATCGTTCAGGCACAGGTGCTGGTGTCTCATACCTTTAATCCTGGCTACTCAGAAGGCTGAGATCTAAGGATCACAGTTTGAAGCCAACTTGTGCAGGAAAGTCTGTGAGATTCTTACTTCCAATAAACTGTTCACTTCCACCCCCCCCTCCCCAAAAAAAAACAACCAGGAAGTGGAGCTGTGGCTCAAGTGGTAGAATGCTAGCCTTGAGCAAAAAAAGCTCAGGGATAGTATCCAGGCCCTGAGCTCAAACCTCAGGACAGCTAGCCAGACAGCTAGCCAGCCATCCAGCCACACACACACACACACACACACACACACACACACACACACACAGATATATTGTACACATAACTGGACATGCTAACTGATACTCCTTGCACAGCTATTCGAAGAGAATAACAGCAAAGAAGAAAGGAAAATAAGTCTGGAATTTTAGATCATGTCCCATCTTTTGGACTCTACTCTTACATGTTCTGGAGTACTAAGGAAACCTCCCTTGTATGCAAGGATCCCTCCCCATCAGCCCAGACCTTCCTCTCACCCTGGCCTTTATTTGTCATTAGAAATACTGCATATATTTATGAAAATTGTGAAATACACCCTAACCATTTTAAGTGCACATTTCAATGGCATTAAGTACATTATAATTGTTATAGAACCATCACTAACCTCTATCCATAGAGCCCTTTTTTTAAATTGTCTAAAATTTTATACCCATTAAATTACATGCAGCATAGCATCCCTACTTTCTCCCAGTTCCTAGAAGCCATTCTTTTTTTTCTATGATTTGGACTACTGTGTATTGCTTAACTACCTTATATTATTGGTTTCCTATTGTGCATTTGATTGCTCTGGCTGACTTATTTCACTTAGCACGGTGGTCACATATTCCCTGATATTGTGGTATAAGATATAACTTTTCCCCCTCAATATTTTTTTTGTCTTTTCAATTTTAGTACTAGGGATCAAACTCAGGGTGTTGAACTTGCTAGCCAAGTGTTTTACTGCTGTGCTCCCTCCCAGCCTGATTTCTTTCCTTTTTTAAGACCGAGTAGTATTCTGTTTTGTATGTGTATGGTTTGTGCATCTATTTATCTGTTGATGGTACTGGGATTGCCTCTACCTGTGGCTATTGTGAATAATACGGCTATGAGCATGAGTGGATAAGTAACACCTCAAGACCCTACTCTCAGTTCTTTAAGGGATGTACTTAGAGGTGAAGTTGATGAGTAATATGGTAACTTGACATTCCACAATTTTTTTTCTGTGTCCATCCTGGGGCTTGAACTTGGAGCCTGAGCATTGTCCCTGAGTGCTTTACCACTTGAGCCAAAGCTCCACTCTCAGCTTTTTGATGGTTAATTGGAGATAAGAGTCTTATAGACTTTTCTGTTCAGGCAGGCTTTGAGCCTTGATCCTCATATCTTGGCCTCTTGAGGAGCTAGGATTACAGGTATGAGCTATCAGCACCCTGCATTTCACTTTTTGAGGAGCAGCCATATTGTTTTCCACAGTGACAATTCATTGTACGTTTCTACCAGAAGTGTTGACAAAGATTTTAACTTCTCCGCCTTGGCCAACACTTGCTTTTACTTTGCCACCTACTTCTTCCTCTTCTTCTTTCCTCTTGCTCTTCCTTCTCCTTTCTTCTTCCTCCTTTCCCTGAGCTTCTTTTTGCTTAAGGCTAGTGCTTTACCACTTCAGCTACAACTCCACTTCCAGCTTTTTTTGAGTAGTTTACCGCAGATGTGTCTCATGGACTTTTCTTACTAGGCTGGCTTTGAACCACAATTCTTAGATCTCAGTCCCTTGAGTA